GAAATGCACCAAACACTGACTAGATTATCACTCAAAAACACTAACTATACAAAGATATAGATCCAGACTCAACCAGTAACCTGTTCTGACTGACAGAAATCAGGACCCTGGTATTGTCTCAGGTGTAATGTGGTGCTTCTCTTGCTTCCCCTTTTTATTTTATAACCTTATAACAAAAAGTCGTCAAACAATTGTTCACTTGAGAGTGGTCTCATATAAGGGAAAGAGTCAAATGAACATTTTGGGGATAAAAAGCAAACTGAACATATCAGGAATACAGCTAACTTAACATTATCAGGGATTCAGCAAAATGAACATATCAGAGATAGAGAAAACTTAACATATCAAGGATAAAGCAAACTGAACATATCAGAGCTAGAGCAAATTGAACATCCTGATATAGCAAACAGAACATACTGGGCTAATGCAAACGGAACATATCAGAGATAGAGCAAAATCAACATAGGATATACAACAAAAAAACTTAAAGGGATAGGGAAAAAAAAAAGGGGGCTATATACAAAAACCAGAACAGAATACATAATAATAGATAGCAAAGCTAAGATACATGGTGGGCACACGCAAACATACACATGTTCAGACACACACAAACAACAGACCATCATCATTCAAGTAAAAAAAAAATGCTGAGAATTTTGTTTAACTATTAATATCACAGAAGAAACATTGTAAAAGAACCAGTTACGGGGTAAATAACACAAAAATAATACATATATTAAGCAAGAGAACATTAACGGGAGGGGGGAATTAGCATATCAGAGATAACCTAAATTTGAAAAAAATAATAGCAGTGTGTATACCTAGCACACATATAAACTAGGGAAATGGATAAAATGAATATACCGGAAAGGGGGGGGGGGGGGGAGAAAGAGTAATCAGAGCTTTAATAAAATTATTGAGGACTAGTATGGATTATAAATAAATAAATGTTCAATGCAGTCTTAAAATACAGCCAAATATTTCATTCATGTTTTACAAAATTTCTGAATGTGAGAAATGATTTGAAAAAAAAAAATTCAGAATTAACATATGTAGGTTCTTTCCTAATCTCTCCTCCCAGATGACGTCACGAAAGTAAGAGTGGGTTTCCAGCTGTATGTGTGTGTATGTGTGTCTTTGTTTCGAAGCATTGCCAACTGTTGCCAAGGTTTGTTTTTTTTTGGTGCGTTTCTTCTTCCGGCGGGTGTCTCCCAAACCACTTGTGTGATCAGTCTTCCTTCCTGCGGGTGTCCCTCCAGCAACTTGTGTATTCAGTCTTCATCGCCACAAATTTCCTTGAATTAGCAGCAACAGTGCCTGATAAGGAGACCAGCGTTGCTTTCCTGCAATATCATGGCGTTCTGCACGGCACCAGACGTTGTCGCCATAATCACACAATGCTGTTATCGCTGACTGAAAAATGCCACAACAGCAGATGCCGCATTCAGACCTCTCTGCAGATCTATTAACGTGTAAAAATTATTCTGATTGTCAGTTCGTGCATGAACCTAGCAGTATACATCTAGAAGGATTGGCCATTTTTTTAGGGCCACCTCCATAGTACCCCAACTGGCAATTTTTCCCCGACTTCACATAGTTTAAAAAAAAAAAAAAAAAAAAAAAAGTCAGCTCTTGGCAACATCGAATTTTCTATACTCCCCAATGTGAGCGCTTTTAACGACCCCAAAACATCCACAACTGACCCTAACCCCAACCAACTACGTCCCATAAGAGAGTGCAGCCTAATTCTTCACGACTGTACGCAGCCTAGGTGCTCCTCCCCAGCAACAGAAACATTAGAAACTGCCCACAAATACTGCATCCTCCCGATTGCACCAAAACACAGAAAAAATGCACACCAAAATTAGAGCACAAGAAGCACACTCTGCACAGCACAAACGTGCACAGCAAATGAAATGCCAGATTACTAACTATATGTTTCATCTACCACCCCCTGAAATATTAGACTGTCCCGTGACCTGTGGAATTCCCTTGTTTGGGGGAAGATATTAGGAAAGTACCTATAAGTAAGTTCAAAATAACATTTTTACTGGTGAATGCAATCATTTTGTATCTAGTCATCAATGTCATAGCTATAACTATAAATGATGGTCAGAAAAAAACATTTGTGTTCGTTTTGTTCAAAAACTACCACATCAGAGAAGTGATTCACATAAAAGAGTGAGTGGTGAAGTGAGGGACAACTACAGAAAGTGAGACGCTCAATGTGATGAGACTGCTGACTCTGGAACACTACAGGCTGTGTACACTAGTCTGTGTCTCTCTAGTCCGACACGCTGGTCTGATATCTATACATCTCCAGTGGAGCTCAGAATTTAGGCCCATACCTGAAAAAATATTTTTTTTTTTTAATATTTTAGTTTTTTAAAGCATTATGTAATTGTAAACAAAATAAGATAGAAACAAAGAATAGCTGATTGTGTATCCTTATAGGATGTTGCAGAACCAAACCCAGAGTTTTTTTTTTTTTAAGCTGTTGTGCATTTTCTATTCAAATTTACGTCCAGTAGTCTGCAAACACAAACAACAGATTTCACAATTTATGAACTGGCAAATTTTGCTGTATCTCATTGGAGGCAAACTACTGTGACAAGTGAACGAAATGGAGCACACAAATTAATCTATACCAGTATGACACCAGAACTTACTGCCACTCAACTCTGTAATCCACATCATACTTCCATCACAACCACTCTGTCACCCACACCACTCTCTCACGCAAACCACATTACTACCATAATCATTCTGTCACCCACTCCACTTGTCACCCATACCACTATGTCACGCACACCAAAACTACCACCATAACCACTTGTCACCCGTACCACTGTCACCCACACCACTCTGTCATCCACACCACTCTGTCACGCACACCACACTACCACCGTAACCACTTGTCACCCATACCACTCTGTCACGCACACAAAACTACCACCGTAACCACTTGTCACCCACACCACTCTGCAATCCCCAGCACACTTCTACCATAACCAGTCTGTCACCAACAGCATCCATCCCTTCTTCTGTAAGCTAGAAGGTCACTGAGACACCACTCCCACAGCAGCTGTAATACGCCACGGGCAATGTCATCACCTGGTCAAATGCAACCTTCATCATTCAAACACATTCTAAATACTCAGTTTAAGATTTTTCAAATGTTTTTTTATTTTTTTTATTCTGCCAGAGCAGTTTCCACTATGGTCTGCTCTTTAACTCTTTGAGTCCCAGGGGGTTTAGCATCACAGGCCCAGTGGGAAGTAAACAAAGGAATAAAATCTGTGCATCATGCGTTCATTGGGCTTCTATGTAGGGACCTATGAACGTATGATGCGTTCCTTAGGACTCAAAGAGTTGAGCTTCTCCAACTGTTAAGGTAGTGTCTATCAATGCTATCAAATTAAATGTTCTAAACTAAATCACTACCTAATTTATTTTCTACATAATCAACCTGTTGCCCTCAACAGCCACAGATCCGACTGTAATGAGGGGATTGCCCAAAGAATTCTTTAGATGGTGTAAGAAGGTCAACGATCAGTTTAGTGAGAAAATCCGTGGAAATGTCTTTCCAGACAAAAGAGTTAGAAAAAATTATAATTTGCACAGTCCGAGGCAACTGCACTAGCGTGCACAATCATGCCTCTCCACAATCTGAGATCTGTGTGTATCAGTTCATGTATTCAAACCCATCCATGCCGTGACAAGAGGCTGTCAAGAATTTTCTCGCCCTGTCTTCCTCTGTCTCTCTTTCCACAGATCTTTCCAGTGGTCGCAACATGTTCCAGTTTCCCTCTTCTCATAGCTAAAGCAAACGACGATGAAAGTCTCTGATTTTGGATAGGTCGTCTTTGAACACTCACCTCTTTCAACATCTGGGTTGCTCTTTTTAGCTATCAAAGGAATTCTAAGGATTCTTCTGTAAAACCACATCACTGAGGCCTCCAGAAATTGTTCAGCTTGTTTATGCACTAGCCCTGCGTCATACAGCCCTAAATCCTCAGGCTTCAGCCACCCCCCCTCCCTAAATCCTCAGGCTTCAGCCACCCCCCCCCCCCTAAATCCTCAGGCTTCAGCCACCCCCCCTCCCCAAATCCTCAGGCTTCAGCCACCCCACCCTTAAATCCTCAGGCTTCAGCCACCCCCCTCCCCAAATCCTCAGGCTTCAGCCACCCCCCCCCCCCACCCCAAATCCTCAGGCTTCAGCCACACCCCCCCCCCACCCCAAATCCTCAGGCTTCAGCCACCCCACCCTTAAATCTTCAGGCTTTAGCCATCCCCCCCCTCAAGCTTCAGCCACCCCCCCCCAAATCCTCAGGCTTCTACCAACCCCCCCCCCCCCATCCTCAGGCTTCAGCACCCCCCCCCCCTAAATCCTCAGGCTTCAGCCACCCCCCCCCCCCCCCAATTCTCAGGCTTCTACCAACCCCCCCCCCAATCCTCAGGCTTCAGCCACCCCCCCCCCTAAATCCTCAGGCTTCAGCCACCCCCCCCCAATCCTCAGGCTTCTACCAATCCTCAGGCTTCACCCCCCCCCCCCCCCTAAATCCTCAGGCTTCAGCCACCCCCACCCAAATCCTCAGGCTCAAAGCCCCCCCCAATAAAAGTGGTAAATACAGGCGATGGCAGTGTTTCAAGATTTTATGAAAATAGTGTTGGTGCGTCTGTCCTATGAAGCTAGATTTATATTTGTATAGAACAATTGGCACCTAGTGGATGATGTGGTTACCATTACATCAGCCATCTTTCCTTCCCCGGATATTACCTAGTACCCATTTTATGGTGAGTCAACTTCGGAGCCAAGGTCAATTTTTAAAATAAAAACAATCCAACCCGATGCGGTTTCAACCGCAAGACATGAGACCATATGCTGTGGAAAAACATAATGATCAATGTCATATGTTATGGACCAAAAGAATAACTAAAAACATTTTTGTGCAACACAGGTTGTTTGGAAACAACAACACAGCCCATCAAATGCTCACCCTTAGAGTGTAGTCCCAGCTACCCGTACACAGGGAGGTTCCATCTGGGGACACCCCCAGACAACTCACGCGGTTGTCATGGCAATATAAAATTGTTATTCGTGTACCCTTGAGTGCATCCCATACATTTACTGTGTAATCATTGTAACCACCAAACAACAAGCGACCTGTGGATTGACAAATATAAATTATATCAATATTATTTAAAAAACAAAACAAAGTAATATGCCATATGTGGTTATTTTTAGATGAGGATTGATATAAGAGTATTAAACATGCCAGACACCAATATCATCATTGAGCTGTGCCATTATATGTTACACAGGGTTTGTAGTCTATTCATCTATTCCATTCTAGTCTGTGCAATCATTATGATATCAGAAATTGAATCCAGTCCAGCACCTCTGGCCTCTCTCATCAACATCCATCTTATAGTTTCTCTTGGGACATCCCAGGTTCCTCAATCCATTTATTTTCCATTTCACTGCCTTAGTTTTTATTCATCCCCTTTTATGCTCAAAACACTGTCATCTTCTTTTTCTAATCAATGTTGATACTAGTGGTTGTCTTGATGTTTCTCTTGTTTCTTGGATTTCTATAATACATCCAATTAATTTGCATCTTTTTATTCAGGTATCTGTTGTTGTTTTTTAAACCCATTGAAGCCAACTCAATAGCCATATCATGAATTAAGAGACGAGATAAAATATGTCAGCACTATAGACATGAACGCATTTACCACACACACACACACACACACACAAAACTTCAGTAATCTGTCAATATTAACCCTAGTCAAACAACACTGTTAATATTCTATTTACACTCTATCACCTACCAAGTCTGGATTCGAATCCATAGAAACACTGCCATTATCTATCTACACCTTTTTTTCACATCCCGAATGATGAATTCCATTTATCTGTCATGGACCTTGTATCTATCGTATTGAACTACGGCTCATTATACGGCCCTGTGACAGAGACACTATTCGACAACACACCAAGCCCAAAACGTACAGAGCGCACACACCAAATCTTTACTACAAGAATACGATTTTACAAAATAGCAGTTGACTTTGGAGTGCAAAATCACTTCTATCCAAAACTAGGCTGGGAAAGCTTTACAATTCACCACTCCCACCTATTCACATTCCCATGGATAAACAACAAGTCAGGCAACCTACCCTGCCACTGAACCCTGCATGAGGATTCATGAGGCGTCCACAACGTGGAAGGCTGGATGCGCAAGGATAGGCAAATTCGCCACCACCAAACACAGCTAAACTCTAATTACCCAGATACCTGAACAACTACTTACGCATGACACAATACCAACCCAACTGTCGGTAGAATACTATATAACACATTATAAATACTAACAGCTAACTAAAACACATTACGAAAAGGCTGACAGTCGCTATCTTTGAACTTTTAACACAATATAATCTAGAACATCTCTCAATATCTTCAGCCTAACACGCCCCTGTCCAAATTCCTCTCCTTCCCTCCCCGCTGTTCAGCTTAGGGTAAAATGTGTATGTAGTACCAGTGTTCAAGCCATCTCGGGTTTTCCCCATATCGTGAATTCAGTTGGCTGACCGCTGGTGCACTTTTTGGTCCGTCAAACACAAACATAGGACTTCACAAGTCTTATCGTCTATACTCTGTCTCATACCCTTCTCACAGGGCTATGTCAGGTATTTGTTTTTTAAAAACATTTTAAGGGCCCCAGAACCCACAATGAGAAAATTCATCTCCAAGAACATGGATTTTAACTAACGTTTATGCACTGGCAATCAACTCATCTTGGTCCTGAAATGGGCTTGCATCTATTGAAGTGATGGTGGTGATTTGTCCTTTTATTTGATCATGATCAGTTCAGAGGTACCTGGTAGTTAGCACCCTCTAGATCTTTTTTCCAATGTAGGCAAATGTGTTGGGAAATGATCAGACAGACAGGCTGGTTGTGCACTACTCATCTTCTTCTTCTTCGCGTTCACTGGCTGTAAACTGCGGCGAAAAGTTCTGGTTGTTTATCCACTTCTGGACTTTGGTCTTGTTCCAGAAACTGAGTTTTGCTTACACATCCGTTTCACAGGTCTGACTCATTTACATGCAGACTGTTGGTTCCTTGCATCTCAGGAGATGTACTCTGACTTCAAGCGAAGCTCCTAATTAGTCGACTCTTACCACACACGCTTTTGGGCAGGCAGTGGGTCTACTCTTGTTTTCCCCCACAAAAGGGCTTCTTTAGGGCACTGACTAGTGACCTGATGCATCATAAGCTAGACGTAATCAAGGAGCTTGAGCAACAATTGTACAATACAGAAATCCCAACTGATTATTACATTGTGAAGAGATAATTGCACTGGGCGTTGACCAGGGGAATCTGGTTGACATTCTACCTTCAGAAAGGCAAAGACCGACATATAATCAAACTACTCCTGGTACAATGGGCATTACAACTTTTAATTGGCTGCTGAAGATAGGGAGCAGCGCTAGTGGGAATGCCTCGAGTGTTGCCATGTCAGTTCTCTAAACTCAAACTCAGGAATTGTTGACAGATACCAGTGGGGTGTACAAGACAAATACTAGATCTCACATCTGGACAGAGGCATACTGGAATGCTACCAGATCATGATTCAGCTCATCATACAGACTAGCAACCATGTACCAAGCCTGTCAGTGCCATCTTTAGGGTCAAGACAGGAGACAATGTAACCAACTTCTCATGGGAACAATCAGTAGAGGTACTGAGCACTTATGGGATGCCCAATGTGCAGTGATGTCGATTGTGTTAACAATACATAACCACACATTCATCTATGTTAATGTCACGGTCGCTCTTGGGATCCCTGTCATACACAAGCTTCTCCACAACTTAAAGGTAGAGACAAAAAACATAAAACAAGGGAACGTCAATCTAAACAAAAGAGAAATATGTCGCTACCTACCGCTCACTGAAAAGTCTACAGCATTACACCCAAATATAATACTGTCTTTCTTGTAGCAATTCACCTCTCGATCAGCTCGAAGATCAAACAAACGACACTGAAATAAAAACAGAATATGCAGGTTAATACATCAAGACATGATCTATAAAACTGTAATGATTGCATATAATGGGTTAAAGAATGTGTATGAGCTTTAACCCTGTCATAAGAGTCAACTAATTGGGGGCTTCCTTTAAAATTAAAGTACATCTGCCTTAGAAGCAAGGAACCAAGAGCCTGCATTCAAAAAAGCCAGATCTGTCAAACAGTTGTACATGCAACAGTTTATAAAAAAAGACTAAAGCCCAGAGGTGGATGAACATCCAGAAATTTCCGCAAGAGTTTACAGCCGGTGAACATGAAGAAGACAAAGAGGAAGAAGCATTGCAAGGAGGGAGAAATTAGAAGGGGAACAGGGAATAAAAAGTAAAAGACTGCAGACAGGTACTTATCTGAGAAGAAATAAGTTAAAATATATTTGATGACAACAATACTCCTGAAATCTCAGATATTTATTGTGGAAGATTTTACTGAACACAAACTATCTTGCTGTCATCACTCGCTATTGTCATGGTCTGTGATTCCCTATAGTACAACAGAATATTATCGTCAGGAAGACGGAAACGTGCTGTCAACCAAAAATTATTAAATCCTACACAGACATTAAAAAACATGAAATAAAAATGTCACTGAGAACTTACTGTTGCATCATCTGATCCTGTCGCAAAAGCATCACCGCTAGGGTAAAACCTTACACTGTTGATATCAGAGTCGTGGCCATCAAAGACTTGCACACAGTCCCCAGTTCTCATATCCCAGACCATAGCCACTTTGTCGCAGCCCTGTTCAATTTCAGATCCCAAAAGGTTCACGTTAAGATACAGATACAAGTTTAATTATTATCACATTTTAGAATACTACAATGATTATCACATTTGAAATTACTATAATGTATTTTCATCAGTCTATGTCAAACAAGTTCAAAGACATCTGGTTCTTCTCAAAATGTTCTTGACTGACCATGTAGATCTGTACCAATCTTGCAGGTCTCGCAACTCATTGTTAGACATCAATGTCTCTCAATATGAGCATTTTTTTTAACCCACTTCATCTAAGCAGCAATCACAAAGATATTCAATGGGATTTATAATACCTGCTTTGGTGGTGGTGTTTTGCTAGGGAAAAAAAAAATTCACACGTTCAACCACCATACCTGAAGGGGGAGCTTTAGGTTATAATTGTGACAAGGTTATGTGCGCCATTTAAAATGGCTTAGCACTGCACAACACCAAAAGCCCTAAAAAGGATTTTTTCAGTGTTGATGTCATCAAAGGAGACAGACCCGAATATCGTCCTGACCTGTGACAAAGTCGTCTACAGGGCAGGCCAATGGATGACCCGGTTGCCGATGGATACCTGCTCTATCCATAGGTAGAAAAGACTGTTCCATTTAGAGTACAATACAGAGAACCAATTACTGCCTGTATTTACCAGTTCTGCTGTGTAGGCAGTGGGGTCTTTGCGCCTGGGGATTTAGGGTCATATGTCTAGTGTTGTTACCATGGACGGTACAGGTCAGGATTTTATTTGTACCCGTTTGATCTCTCATATAAGAACCCAGCGTTATTAACCACTCAGCCAGGCCTCCTCACTGAAAAGTTTACTAAGAGAAAGTAAAGAAACAAGCAAAGACATCATATATGTATCCATAAAAACCAGACAAAATAACATACCCCAGAGACAAATATATTTCCTGTTTCTGTCGGTGAAAGATGGATGCTCATGACATCACCAGCATGTCCGTGAAAACTCTGAATTAGTTGTGCACTTTCAACATCCCACAATGCACAGGTACTGTCGCCACTTCCTGTCAGAATCTGAAATGCATTTTCAGTGTCATATTTTCTATAAACAAATTATTGTCAATGCCATTTCAGACTCAATAAGCTCAGAACACTTTTTCATTCATACTTATACATCAGTTTAATGAATGAATCAATCAAAAACTGATATCACTGTACTTTGGACACTTCCAAATCTGGACGTCCTCTTTCACAGCGGTCAATAAAAGTTACAGTTAATGGTAAAGTCAAGAGGATCGACTTCAATGAACTGGGTTTGATCCCATATGGCTCTGTCTCTTAGGTGAATGGCTAGTGGCCTGCTGAGAATGTTACAAAAAAAAGAAACTCTTATCTCCAGCTACAATCCTTATAGAACTTCATAAAAATTGCACTCATGAACTGAATGGCGCAGACAAGAAATGAACCGTCAGAAGGAAAGGCAAATGGCTTGACCACTTTGCTAAGAAGGCCCCCTCCCCCTACCCCGGACTAGCCAACAAAGAGTTCATTTACTTATAGTGACAGTTGCAACTAGATCAAAGTACCCCCCCCCCTTGCCAGTTCAATGGTATCTGGATCTGCTGATTACTCCTTGCTTAGTCTCTCCAGGAATGAATACATTATTTAACAAAAACAATGTACTATCATTAATACAAAGTCAAAAGTTCATTGCACTGTGGTCAAACTGACAGGTTCTCAGTTTTCTTTAGCAGCTGATAAAGAGCTTGTAGACTGACAGACTGAAAAGAGGAAGTGTTGGATGGCTCAAGCTGAAGACACAATCAGACATGCGTGCAGACTTGATAAATTTGTGCGAGGTGAGGAGTGGGTCAAAGTTGTCTGAGCAAGTTTCAGACTTGTGTAGGATTCTAATCCCTTTAGTCGTTGAGTGCAGGGACTGGTCACCTGGTGCTACAGAATCAGAAGTTCAACAAATGATTCATGACAATTCCCGTCCAAGTGATGTGATTATCTACACAGATGGTTCTGTGCTGAGGGGCAAACAAAGTGCATGGGGGTTTATAGCAAAAGCAAATGGACATCGCTTAGTGCAACAAAGCCTTGCATATGACATCACAATGTCTACTTTGAGAATGGAGGTGGAGGCAGTCACTGCTGCCTTTCATTGGCTTGAGAATTAGCTATACACACATGCTGTGATTGTAACTGACACAGAACATGTTGAGAAAGGTAGAGACAGGCTTTGTGCAGAGTGACAAGCATCATTTCAGTTAGCGTCCTTTGAATATATTCGCCATGTCATGCCAGTCTTTTGGGAAACGAGCAGACAGGTAGACTGGCCGATACTGCACCACTTGAAAGTGAAATGATGTATGACAAGCTAGATGTTCTGAGGGCCCTTTGGGAGCGAGCAAACAGTGCGGAGGTACAGACAGATCGTTATGGTCTGAATAGAATGGCGCCTCGAGGCATTACCGTGGGCTGACACTCAACAACGAAGAGAATAGCAAGATGGGTAAACAATCACACAGTTACTGGTACCATCAGAATCGCAACACTTCGCTTGTTGCTGAAGATGGGAATGGAAAGCTTATGGGAGTGTTCAGAGTGATATGATGTTGATTCTTAATTCAACATTAAACATTTGACAGCCTCCAGTCAGCAAAAATGTTGCATCAATATAATGTGATCTCTCTAAGCCTGCTGTCTGCATGTAATGTATTTGATCCTATATTGCAGACAACTTCTAAGACAGTTTCTCACAAAAAATCTAAAGAGGCAGCCAACATTCATTGGCCCACAATGTGAACAGATAAATACAATCATTTACATGCAGGAGAAAGACATTTCTGGGTCATTATCCAAGTTGTTACTACCAACATAAAGAGTGTAAAGAATGCAAAGAGGCAGGAGTAAAATCTCATGCGCTTGCTTCATGAGAAAGATTATAAAACAAAATATTTTTTTTACATGAATTTCTTAGCCTGTACACTACAACAGGCAGAATTTGTGCATTTTAACTTACCTGGTGGTCCGAACTTGTGAATGTACAACATGAAAGGTAACTTGTGTTACTGTAACATACCTAGTGGTCTGAGCTTGTGAATGTACAACATGAAAGGTAACTTGTGTTACTGTGACATACCTGGTGGTCCGAGCTTGTGAATGTACAACATGAAAGGTAACTTGTGTGGGTTGCAACTGCACGCTTCTTGGTGGCGGGATCCTCATCCATGCTCAACGGGTACAGAGTACATTTGTTATCCAGTCCACTATAGTTAGAAAAACAAATAATCTAAGATAAATCTCATCAAATTTGACAATAACAAATATACTTCTTCTTCCGCCTTTTAACTCTCAATGGAGCACAGGTCCTCAATCAACTTGTACAAATGCTTATTAAACTTCAAGCTTGAAGATGGAGGTGGAAGCAATAAGTGCAGCTCTGAGGTGGATAGCACAAAACAGAGTTACCGTAGTGTCTGATTCTCAGTCAGAGCTATGGAAGGTCTAAAATGGACAAATGTGGCATGAGTGGATACCAAGCATCAGTACATTAATTTTGCAGGGATCTGTGTGCATATACTGGCCAGGAAAAATGCAGGAGTGCAAGGGAATGAAAGCGCAGATTTTTTGTTTTGGCTACAAATGCAATAGCTATAGGAGCACTAATACTGGAAACAGGAAACATCTGGAAGACCATTTATGATGAATACTGATAGAAGACGATAGGCTAGATGAAATAATGTGTAAGAATGTGCAACATGGAGTTAGGAGTGGATCAGGCATAGAGTGGCGCATATGAGGAAGAGAACAATGTGCATGTAATCAGCGTGCGCCAGAACAGTTAGCCTCTACAACTTATGACATTTTCTGCAGGAGACAAAATCTATGGATATGTCTGGTGTGTTATGATGTTGATTTTTAAATCCGTAATCAGTATTGATAATTGGCTGGATTCTCAGCTACTTTTCTCCAGGATGTAGTAGCCAGTCTCACACCGACCCTCCTAAGTTGCCTTTTATGATATGCATAGTTGGTTAAAGTATTATAAACCTTTGCTTCTCTTACGAGTTCTGACACCATATGAGTGAAATTTATATTTTGCATTTTTAAGTTCCCTGTCAGTGGCTTCTTTTTATCAGGGGAAGCCACCGCCAATGAACGTAGAAATACAAAAACATCCCAGTTTTGATTCTCTTGAACAGTCGCGCCTTCAGCGCTTCCCCCTGCAGCACTTCTTACCTGCACACACATGCCTGCCGTGCCTCAAAGAGTCTTACAACAATACAGTCTCCCAAAAGTATTATATATATGGCCAAACCAAGCCATCTCATAACACCCCCCCCCCCCCCCCACACACACATATGACAGGCTGTGCGACCCGCACCGGCATGAATGAGGAGGGAAGGAACTCTCTCTGTGAGAGCGAGTTTGTGGTGTTTCCATAATCTAACATACAATACTACGTAAATCTACACAACAGATTCTTTCTGATGTCTTTAATAGTTATTTACTGCTCAGTTATTTCACTCATTCAATAGGCTTTAGCACTTCAAACTTCTAAATACATTCACTTTTTAATTCAGTCCTCTCTCTTTCTCTTCTACTCTTGCATGCAGAGGTCCTTTTTATTTTGATATAATTACACAGATACTGCCTTTATCTGCCAAAATATGATTAACAAGGAAGCCAACGCTAGATCTCCATATCAGTAGACAAGTTTGTAAATGCACTACCACACAGACAGCCAATGTATCAATATAAACTGAGAACAACTTACCCACAAGCTACAACACTGCCGGATGGACCATACGAACAAGCCATCACCCAAGTTGTAGGCATGGTTATCGCATGTTCCTGCCAAAATATCAATCAAGATGATAACTCAATATGACACGGTCACTGACTATTTAAATGTCAAGATTATCGGCCACCTCAGTACTTGGCCAGATCACTATTCAGTACCTAGTTAGTCACTACTGAGTAATCAATCATCAATTAGTACTAATTTAGTCACTATTCAGTAATCAGTCATTCATCGCTTAGTACTTATTTAGAAACTATTCAGTAATCAATCAATCATTACTTAGTACTTATTCAGTCACTATTCAGTCACTATTCAGTACCTAGTAGTCACTATGCAGTAATCAGTCATTCATCACTTAGTACTTATTTACTCACTATTCAAAAATCAATCGATCAATCATCACTTAGTACTTATTTTCAGTCACTATTCAGTACCTGGTAGTCACTATTCCTCCTCCATCCTATTCTTTTTTGCATGCTTCTTCTGCCTTTCATTTATCCAATGACAGAGCCAAATATTTTCTTCAAGCCCCTTGAAGGGATTGTGATGAGGCACCAGCTAACAGTTAGGGATTGTGATGAGGCACCAGCTAACAGTTAGGGATTGTGATGAGGCACCAGCTAACAGTTAGGGGCTGTGATGAGGCACCAGCAAACAGTTAGGGGCTGTGATCAGGCACCAGCTAACAGTTAGGGATTGTGATGAGGCACCAGCTAACAGTTAAGGATTGTGATGAGGCACCAGCAAACAGTTAGGGATTGTGATGAGGCACCAGCTAACAGTTAGGGATTGTGATGAGGCACCAGCTAACAGTTAGGGATTGTGATGAGGCACCAGCTAACAGTTAGGGATTGTGATGAGGCACCAGCAAACAGTTAGGGATTGTGATGAGGCACCAGCTAACAGTTGGGCTGTGATGAGGCACCAGCTAACAGTTAGGGGCTGTGATGAGGCACCAGCTAACAGTTAGGGGCTGTGATGAGGCATCAGCTAACAGTTAGGGGCTGTGATGAGGCATCAGCTAACAGTTGGGCTGTGATGAGGCACCAGCTAACAGTTGCGCTGTGATGAGGCATCAGCTAACAGTTAGGGATTGTGATGAGGCATCAGCTAACAGTTAGGAATTGTGATGAGGCATCAGCTAACAGTTAGAGATTGTGATGAGGCACAAGCTAACGGTTAGGGATTATGATGAGGCACCAGCTAACAGTTAGGAGCTGTGATGAGTCACCAGCTAACAGTTAGGGATTGTGATGAGGCACCAGCTAACAGTTAGGGTTTGTGATGAGGCACCAGCTAACAGTTAGAGATTGTGACGAGGCACCAGCTAATAGATAGGGATTGTGATGAGGCACCATCTAACAGTTAGGGATTGTGATGAGGCCCCAGCTAACAGTTAGGGGCTGTAATGAGGCACCAGCTAACAGTTAGGGATTGTGATGAGGCACCAGCTAACAGTTAGGGATTGTGATGAGGCACCAGCTAACAGTTGGGCTGTGATGAGGCACCAGCTAACAGTTAGGGGCTGTGATGAGGCACCAGCTAACAGTTAGGGGCTGTGATGAGGCACCAGCTAACAGTTAGGGGCTGTGATGAGGCATCAGCTAACAGTTGGGCTGTGATGAGGCACCAGCTAACAGTTGCGCTGTGATGAGGCACCAGCTAACAGTTAGGGATTGTGATGAGGCACCAGATAACAGTTAGGGATTGTGATGAGGCATCAGCTAACAGTTAGGGATTGTGATGAGGCATCAGCTAACAGTTAGGGATTGTGATGAGGCACCAGCTAACAGTTAGGGATTGTGATGAGGCACCAAATAACAGTTAGGGATTGTGATGAGGCACCAGCTAACAGTTAGGGGCTGTGATGAGGCATCAGCTAACAGTTAGGGGCTATGATGAGGCATCAGCTAACAGTTAGGGATTGTGATGAGGCACCAGCTAACAGGGGCTGTGATGAGGCATCAGCTAACAGTTAGGGATTGTGATGAGGCACCAGCTAACAGTTAGGGGCTGTGATGAGACACAAGCTAACAGTTAGGGATTGAGATGAGGCACCAGCTAACAGTTAGGGGCTGTGATGAGGCACAAGCTAACAGTTAGGGATTGTGATGAGGCACCAGCTAACAGTTAGGGGCTGTGATCAGGCACCAGCTAACAGTTAGGGTTTGTGATGAGGCACCAGCTAACATTTAGAGATTGTGACGAGGCACCAGCTGACAGTTAGGGTTTGTGATGAGGCACCAGCTAACAGTTAGGGATTGTGACGAGGCACCAGCTAACAGTTAGGGATTGTGACGAGGCACCAGCTAACAGTTAGGGATTGTGACGAGGCACCAGCTAACAGTTAGGGATTGTGACGAGGCACCAGCTAATAGTTAGGGATTGTGATGAGGCACCAGCTAACAGTTAGGGTTTGTGATGAGGCACCAGCTAATAGTTAGGGATTGTGATGAGGCACCAGCTAACAGTTAGGGATTGTAATGAGGCACCAGCTAATAGTTAGGGTTTGTAATGAGGCACCAGCTAACAGTTAGGGTTTGTGATGAGGCACCAGCTAACAGTTGGGCTGTGATGAGGCACCAGCTAACAGTTAGGGATTGTGACGAGGCACCAGCTAACAGTTAGGGATTGTGACGAGGCACCAGCTAATAGTTAGGGATTGTGATGAGGCACCAGCTAACAGTCTTGCTTGTCTGCTTGGTTGCTGTAGGATTCAACCTAAATTTTTATAAAAATTGATCAAGACTCAAATTTTCTTCTGCTTCTTCTTCCCTTCCTCTAGTTTCTTATGGTAGTTTCAGAAAATTGTAACATGGCTTTTTTTAAATAGTTTTTTTTTTAAAGAAATGATGAAGAAGGTACATTTTCATATTTTAGGTAGGTGAAGGGGTTAAGACTGGATGGATACTATACTGCAGCTACATTGTTCTACAGCAAAAGGTAACCAGTCCCAAGCCAATTAATTTTATTCATATCTTACAACTTGTGAGGTAGGTTGCAGTTAGTATTCTTTTGTTTTCCATACAGGCCTCAGTAACACATGGGTCTAAGTAACACATGCACCTCAATAACACGTGGGCCTCAATAACATGTGGGCCTCAGTGACATGTTGGCCTGAATAACATGTGGGCCTCAATAACATGTGGGCCTCAGTTACATTCGAGCACTAGTAACACACATAGGCCTCAGTACCAAATTAGCCTCAAAATCACATGGTCCTCAGTAACATATGGGCCTCAGTAACATTTAGTCTTCAATAACATGTGGGCTCAGTAACAAATAGGCCATAGCAACAAATGGGCCTCAGTAACACATGGGAATCATTAACACTTGGGCCTCAGTAGCAATTGGTAACACTTGGGCCTCAGTAACATTTGAGCCCTAGTAACATCCAGATAACATTAGTAAAAACGGAGAATGTACACAGACGTTCATTAACTGACCTTGTTTGTAGTGAAGGCATCCCAGATCAACATTTTTCCATCCTGTGAGGAACTCACAAGATGCCGCTTGTCTGATGACCAATCCATACAAAGGACTTTCCCCTGGTGACCCTTCAGCGTCCTCCGTGGCTTGATGTTGAAATTTTGCAGGCTTTCTAAGCGCTGACCAATAACACATGCTGCAGACACATTAGGGATATCTGACTGTTTTTGTTTCAATGAAATACAATTTGTTCTTCTGTAAATCCATATCGCTTGAGACACCATACCTTCTTCTTCTTCGTGTTCACCAGCTGTAAACTCGGGCAGAAAGTTCTGGTTGATCGTCCACTTCTGAACTTTAGTCCTGTCCCAGAACCTGAGTGTTGCATGCACATCCGTTTTACAGATCTGACATTTAGCAGACTGTTGGCTCCTTGCCTCTCAGTCAGATGCACTCCCACTTCAGAGGAAGCTTCCAACTTTTACGACATGCTCTTGGGCAGACAGTTTCCCCCACCAACAATGGGGCCCCAAAGCCCACATAAGGATCATTTTCTGGCTCTACTGGCAAATCCGGACGAAGAATAAACAGCCGTGGACGACTTAGTCAGAGTTCTCTCCCTTGGCCGCACTCCAAACAGTGATCGGAAAATAAACGAAACAAACGACACACTTAGCTATCATCCTGCGGTTGCGTGTAGGGCTGCGTACGGTTGCGTGAGGCATCGTGGCATCATCATATGGTTGCGAGCAGGGTTGCGTACGGTTGCGTGAGGCATTGTGAATGGTTGTGTAGTCATCATCATGCGGTGTGTTGTTTTAGAGTTAGGGGTAGGGTTAGGGTTAGGGTTAGGGTTAGGGTTAGGGGTAGGGTTAGGGTTATGGGTAGGATTAGGGGTAGGGTTAGGGTTAGATGTGAAAATTTTGACGTAGGATTTCGAAATACTGGCCGACAATATGATGTTTGTGGGAGTGGCACCACTGAAACTCTGCCAAATATGACGCCAATAGCGTGCGGCTGGTGCCCCCAATCGTTGGCGAATTGTGCGTTTGACCAGCATCCAGAGGCCCTCGATTGTTTGTGTGTGTGTGTGTGTGTATGGGACTGTGCGCGATTATAGGGAACTCCGGCGTCAAAATTGTCAAATCTAACGCTAAACCTAACCCTACCGCTAACCCTAATCCTAATCCTACTCCCTAACCCTAACCCCTACCCCCTAACCACGCAAATTTATCGATCATTAAAGCATACAATTCGGCAAACACCAACAAACAAAACACACCCAACCAAAAAAACACCCAGAATTGTCCTGCAGCGTCGAAAAAAAAACCCAGATCTGGGGGAAACAACCAAGCATTGGCAGCCCTGATGTCGACGTGACTGTCTTCTTTGTTTCGTTGTGGCTTTTCCGATCACTGTTTGGAGTGCAGCCACGGGAGAGAACTCTGACTAAGTCGTCCAAGGCTGTTTATTCTTCGTCCGGATTTGCCAGTAGAGCCTCAATTTTCTAATTGCTTCTAACTTCTTTACTGTCCAGGTCTCTGCACCTTGCGCCAGGACTGAGTCTACATAACCGATGATAACCTTTGACAATCCGCTCTTTCTTCCGTTTTTTTCCCTTCCGGGCGCCTAGCTGAAAGTTCTGACATCCTGAGATTACAAAACCTCAATCTGGATGGCAGATTAACATGAAATCCTAGATATCCTGTTACAGGTTATAACTGCGGCATCCGTAACGGTTACATCAGTCTGGTGTTGCTGCCGTCGTGTGAGGGTGCCGATCTCTTTCTTGGCAATTATGATTCTTACTTATCGGCATTTTAATTTTGACTTTTCAAATCACTAAGGAGATATGTTAATGAGATGCATTAAGTTATTTATGAACCATAACATAACTAGAGCTTATTACTTACAGTCTACATCGTTGAGCTTAGCTTTCTCTTCGGCCAAGCGAGCTTTCAAAGCTTCTGCCTCGCGACTGAGAGCTTCGATAGAGTCCGGGTTTTCTGCTCGTAAAGCTTCAGTGGCAGCCATGTTTGTTTCTACGGCCGGGCCGTTGCCCGGATCTAGCCGTCTGCTGCTGCTCTAGGTTTGTTGCGGTTGTTTCCCCTGTCGGTATTTTTTTTCTCTGATGTTTATATATAATCAACAAAGAGACAACGTATTGATTGGCACTCATAGAAAGAAGTAGAAAGGCGGAAGGACACACCAGACAACATAAAAATCGAAAGCTGTAGTTACCGTGACGGGAGTCCAAACTGTCACCTTCAAATCGAGTCTCATTATTTCATGTTATGGCATGACAGACAAGGAGGAACTTAGCCTTGCCTGGCCGCTGGTCTAGGAGCGAAGCTCCGACAGACGGACAGACAGAACACTGCTTTTCGGATCAGACATACCGGTATTACCTTTCCTTTAAAATAAACTAGGCATACCTAGTAAAGGTTGGTTGCGTATCCTTTACAGGACGTTTCAGAACCAACCCCTGCACCCCGGGCTGTTGTGTGGTTTCTCAAGGCAAATTTACGTCCAGTAGTTTGCCATTGCTTCTGGACGGTCAGCCCCCTGATACCACTGTCGAAACCAACGCAAGGCGCATGGTCCGCAGCTGGGATCAAACACGGTACCCCGGCATTACGAAGCGTTCGCATCGACTTAGCCACAGAGCCGACGCATACCTAGTAACTGATCATAATGCATGGCCAAAACATGTTAATACTGTCCAGACTCTGCGCTATGGAGATGACATTGTCATGACTTCCTATAGCATAGTATAACACTGTCACAAAGGGACACAAAGTGGTAAGCTTACGGTTGGTTTATCGGACACATGTTGGACTTTGTTGGAAATTGGCAGAGGGACAAGGGCAGACATTTCGGACACGATGGACTTGAGGGATAAGACTTTCTTTTCGACTAGACACCCGAACAGGCCTACCGAATCCAGTACCCCACGACGTTCCGTTGTGTCCAGAGCCAGCTCGAAGCCCTTTCATCGGCTTCGCCCAGTTGTTTTAGTGATCGTTTGCGCTCGTTTCCTCACAAGCCCAGCTGCTTTATCACATTGTACATGGAAGTGGAGATGAGACCTCTTGCGCCTACCACGACGGCGAAGATACTTACTGTGTGCGCTTCGTCTCTCCTCAGATCAGCCCCGAGGTCACTATATTACTCGAGCTTATACATGTGACTCTCGTCCTTTTGCGACTCATACGGCACGGTCAGCTCAATCAGGATGAGCTGTCGTTTCTCCGTCTTTCAAATTAACTGTAGGTACTTTTCATGACCAGGCAAGTCAACCGCCAGTAACCTGCCCCTCGCACAGCCAAGCATCAATGGAGCGTATGCGACCTTGTTAAATTTACCTTTATAAATCTGCCCAGCCTTGAGGAAGCGCACGGGGACAACGGTAGGACCGGTCCTAGCCGTAGCTTGGTCCACAACGTCTGCTCTTTCGGGACTTTTTGTGTGTGGCGCCAAGTGTATCTACCTTGACCTAAGGCTTTTCTGCACGCGTCTGCTTAGCTCTGCATAGTGGTCTTGTCGAGTCGGTAGTCGCATGCCACTTGACCATGCTGATACCGGACGGTAACACATTGTTTGCAGATCGTACGATAAATCTCAGTAAAATAAAACTGTCGTTAAAGTTGCCGAGTGGATTACTAAATTGCCACGTTACTTAAGGGTCGCCGGCACATTGAATTGTGCTATTTTATACAATTTAAGCCACCCCATAATTAATGATCCGTTACATTTTTGTTGAAGATTTTCAGCAACAAATCTATAACATGCTCCTTCGTTCACACAGGTTGTACCCAAAACGTGAACTTCTCTTTCAGTCTGACAAAACACGTCACCTTGCAACTGATGATTGGATCGTCAACCACCGTTATGATAACATAAATATCGTGTTCTATGTACCCTTCTCCGTGTAATGTTCCTGTTTCGGTTCTTTTTACAAATTAGTTATTTAGGTTAAAGAGAATATTTCAGGTGGCATGGGAAAATCAAGAAACACCATCAGATTGGCAAACTGCTGTCATTGTCCCGCTGTGGAAAAATAAAGGAAGTAAGAGGGAATGTACTAATAACAGAGGAATATCACTTCTCAGTCACACTGGGAAAATGTATGCTAAGATCATCGAAAAAAGGCTGAGACCATTGATAGAGTATCAACTTTCAGAAGCACAGATGGGCTTTCGACGAAACAGAAGTTGCACAGATGCCATTTATACATTGAGACAACTATCAGAGAGGGCAATAGAACATGATAAGACATGTTTGTTGACATTCATAGACCAAGAAAAAGCCTTCGATAGAGTCGACAGGAATATGTTGTGGGAATGTATGGGTAAAAAAGGAATCAGCAATCATCTCATTAATATTTGCAAAAGCCTGTACACACGTAGTGAATGCTGCATAAGATCAAAGGCAGGGTTGTCTAGAACTTTTATAGTGAACTCTGGTGTGCGTCAGGGCTGTGTACTATCGCCGCTTCTTTTCATAACATACATGGACGCCATATGTAGCGAAACAGACTTTAATCAGGGAGAAGATATAACAAAATTACTTTTCGCCGACGACCAGGTACTCATATCAGAAAATATGGAATGCCTACAGAACACCTAAATCAAATTAGTAAACAAAGGGGAGGAATATAAATGAAAATAAAACACTACGAAGACAGAGACAATGATGATAGGAAGACATAAAGACAATTTAGAAATTAAATTAAAAAACAACACCCTGAGACAAACAGAGGAATTTAAGTATTTGGGAGCAATTTTTACTTCAGACGGAAAACTGGACAGAGAAATTAGTTCCAGATGTGCCAAAGCTAATCAAGTAATGGGTCAACTATCTCCCCTGTTGACACACAAGCAGATACCTCGGAGTACTAAAGTGAATCTTATCAGAACTATTTTTTGGCCAATACTATGCTATCAGTGCCAAACGTGGACACTTACATCCTCCAATGAACGTAAAATTGTGACAACAGAGATGAAATGCCTTAGAAGAGCTGCAGGAGTTTCAAGGAAAGACAGAATACAAAATCATGAAATCAGACGAATGCTAGGAATAAAGCCAGTCTTACAGGTCATCAAAGAACAACAAATGAAATGGTTTGGACACCTAACAAGAATGCCCTGGTACTATCTGCCACAGCGAGCCACACTAAAACGTTACAACGGGTATAAAGCGAGTGGAAGACCTCGGAAAATATGGAGTGATGGCATTAAGAACAGCCTTACAGAAATGAACGCCCGTCTCTCTAGCGAAGTTGGCTAAACCGGATTTCGCGGTGAGCGGGTGACGAACTCCTTGTGGTCCGGGTTCACTCCCGGGGGTGGGCAGAAAAGCCACATTTTCTCCCAGATTTACGGTATTTAAAATGGAATCAAGGCCGAAAGGTTGCGATATCCATAATACCGAGCCTAAGGGTTAACAACTCATGGCTTCTGGATACTAAAACAAACAGAAATGAACATCAGTCTTAATAGTGCTCTTGACAGAGCTCATCAACGAACATTACATCTCCCCCCGACACTTCGATGAGGTACAAGGTGGAAGAGAAGAAGAAGAAGTTATTTAGAAACGAAACTAACAGATTTGTAAAAGATAAAATTAACGCATTTGCAAGACACCAGGAGTCTCTCTTGGCAGTGGTAAAACGTCGCAAGCTAGCTTGGTTAGGGCACATGGTGAGACATAATTAGATTGCAGAGACCGTACTTCAAGGAACATTGGAGAAGGGGGGGGGGGGGGGGGTAGTCGAGAAGAGGAGGGCAACGAAGAAAGTCAAACAACACCAGTAAATTAACAGGACTAAGTTATCACACACTTGTTCATCAAACGGAGGACAGAGGAAGATTGCGGATTTTGTGTGTTAGTGCTTCTGTCAATACAGATACACCTTTCCACGACCCTAAAGGGTCAAGGGTTTTGTTATGTTATTTCAACTCTTTGATAATTTTCTGTTTTTGTTTTAATGGCTGACAGTGATTAAACTGAGAGTGAGCAGGTGGTTTCGAGGATCTTTTCTGTTGTCCTAACATCACGCGAGATTTAGGAAAATCCCATAGCATATGGGATGTTAGAGTTAGGGCTGGTATTGAATAAATAGCGAGTACTACTAATCCTCGCCCGTGTGTCAGCGGGGCCCTCACGGGAAGCAAAGAATAGTGACACTGCAGCCTACCAGGCATGCCGTAAGAGGCGACTAAGGGTAGGGTTGGGCTTGAGGTTGGCTACCTCACCCTGTAAAAACCATAGCCACAAAAACCAACCAACCATGGATAAGTCAGAAAGAGAAGCAAATAAAATCCAGTCAACCAAGATGAGGGGAGGCTCTTCAAATAGAAGAAGTGATCGTTGACTTACCTCCTCTCAGCTAGGAAAACCTCCAGAATTGAAGAGAGCTGGAGAATGAGGTTAGAAAGATTGGGAGGACATGGGGAGAGCTCCATGTAATGGCGAAGGATAGAACGACTTGGCTTGAGTTGGTTGAGGGCCTATGCTCCATTGGGGGATAGAAAGGCAGAAGAAGAAGAGACTACTAATCCTATTCCTAACCCCCCCCCCCCCTTTCCTCCCATGCTACGGGATTTCTCTAAATCTCGCGTGATGTGGTGACAACAGAAAAGAACCTGGCTCGGATAATTTCCTACCCTCAAGGGGGAAAACAGACAAACTTGTAATCAGTTTGCTATTGGCACCATCAACTTCTTCGTGGGCTCAGAGACATTTCCCGGTTAGGTGGTACCCGGTGCGGAATATTATTTCTTCCCCCCCCCCTCCTATTTTACACACAAACTTAGAGAGAGCTACAATCAAATGTTAAAAATACATTTTTTTTTCAGCACTGCTTTAATAGACCCTAGACACTTTGGGGTGAGTGGCGCTACTTTTTTTTCTCTAGTGGGACAAAATTCCTGGGTATAATGATCTCAGTCCTTAATTCATTCAGGTATCATCTTTACAATGAAGGTTTTTACAATGGATCTCAAGCACTCTATGTCTCACGTCCTGGTAGCATATTGTGTCAGACTGCTGTTCATGCAGTTCTAAATGTAATCTCATGTGTATGGCTTTTGTCCTCGTGCTTGTCTGCCTCTTTTACCCAGCAATTTTGTTTTTATGATAGCGTAATGTCTATCAGTCAGTATCAGCGCCTTAGCTGTTGTGAACACGGTTCATATTTCTGAAATACCCGGTCTAATTCCAGCTGGTGATCTCACAGTGAACTGCCCTGTTTGATTTTGACAGTGGTATGGAGCTGACTGTTCAGAGAAGAACGGCAAACTACTGAAGGTGAAATTGCTTTGCACAACTAAAAAATGCTGAGGCATTAATGTCAAAGGATATGCAACAAACTTATTAAATGCTCTTTAATGTGGTGGAAATGTTTAAAGTCTCTTTAAAAAAAATGTCCAGCAGTCTTTTCATGCATGATTCTATGAAATATAACATATTCTTTTGTATAGCCACACCAACAAGCCTCAGTTCAACCTTTAGCTTTTCAAGGAATGTGCCCACTGGTTTATGACTTCTAGGTATTTTCTCCTGTTGTCAGCTCTTTTCCTCTTTACTGAATGGCAAACTATTGATGACTCTTGTAAAGGCACTCCATTATGCAAACAAGGACTAGGGTTTTAGACCGATATTTCACTTTCTGTGGCTCTGGTTACAAGAACAGTGTTTGGATTTGACAGGGTGACTAGCTGATCTGCACAACTGAGTTTAGACTGCCTCTAGCTGGGTTGTGAGAACCTGTCCAGGTAGTTGTTCAGGGGGGGCTTCAAATGAAAACCTTAAAATCATGATAGAAATGATAATAACCATAACCAGTTCAGTTGAGTTAAGAATTGATATTACAGCACTCAGGGCATTTCCATGCATGCTCCGTCCTCATCTTCAGCAGCCAGCGCAGAGTTCCAATACTGATGGTACCAGTCACAATATGATTATATGTTCCTTCTTGCCTTTCCTCTGAGTGTAGTGAGCCGGCTAGACCCTCTGGTTATACCGAGGTGCCTCATTCTATACAGGCCAAAATAATCTTCTTTCTCCACTGATTCCGTTGCTTGTTCCCAAAGGGCCTTGATCAAGTCTGCCTTGTCATGTATCAATTCACCACCCAGTGGTACAGATCCAGCCAATCTGTCTGCCTGTTCATTACCCACCACGCTGGCATGGTCTAGAGAAAAGATACAAAGTAACCATGCCATTGTATTGTAAAAGTAAAACAAGTAAAGGACCCTTTTCCACACCTTTACGAGTATAGGGCATATAGAGCTAGACCTATATTTTATAGACCAATCGGCATAAGATGGGTGATGTGGTCAGCATCACGTCAGCCACTTTTACTTCCCGGAACTTCACCCGGTACCCACTCAAGGCTTGTTCGACCTAGCAGCCAAGGTCATTTTTGAAAAAAAGTCTGCATCCGCCAGGGTGCGAACCCACAACCTTCCGCAGGCGAGCGTCTAGTCGCTAACCACAGTGACTTCTATTGTCTTGTAACATGTCACTATTTTTGTTAAGGATGTCAAGTTTCAAGCACATGACATCATAGTTTTTTGATGGTCAACCCCTCATATTTCACATACTGTTCAGCTTATTCTAAAGCCAGCATGAAATTGTCTCTGTCACCTGAACCAGCTGCTTTAGTGTCAGAGGTCTTTATCAGCCTATCAGCTCTGGTTGTTTCAGTGCATAATCAACAGTGTTTAGAAGCCTGTACTGGTGTGCCTACATCATCTTTTGCATGTATGTAAGACAAAACAAAACAATCTAAGCAATGGATTACAAGGGAGGACTGAATAAATTAACATATACTCTAAATACTGAATACATATTTTATTTATATGTCTGCATATACCATGCGTTTTTCTAGTCCCAGTAATTTCTATACATTGTTTTCAAAATAAAATATTCTGTCTCTCAAAATTACAGTTGTGCAGTTAAACATTCACATCTCAAGGTAACAGTTGATGTTTATGCATTTAAACCAAAAGAAATTTAACAAAAAAAATTTCAGGTGTTAAAAAACATCTTTCAAATTTCTTTCAACACAGGAAAAACAAACCTCTGTTATCACTTTTAAAGAAAATATTTATGACTTAATCAACAACAAAAACAAAACTACTATGATTTGATGATACTCAAAGAAAACATACTTTGCTGAAAGAAAAATTAAAAACAAAAACAATGCATTATGACTAGAATAAAAACACAAACAAATTTACAATATAGTTTACACATAACTTCTAGCAATAAGAACAAAGGGCACTTGAACATAACTAATCTTTCCCTTGTGGAATGCTATTTTATTGCTTTCTGAAGCCATGGCTCTTGCCAGGGGCCGCAGTATAGCCCGGCCATAAATATGGTCTAATGGCTGAACGCAGTTTCCTGGGACCTCTCCACAGGTGATCCTCATCCACATGGTGGCACTTTGTGTCATCGGATGTTTATCACTTGTGTGATGTCCTAGTGGGGTAAAATGTGCAACTACTACAAGGGGCACAATTAGGTTTGGGTGAAAACTACCAATAAAAAATGTAAAATCATGAGGTTGGATTTAAGAACCATCATCAGAGGAGTAACTATCCAGGTGAGCATCTCACTGATCCCCATACTTCCCCATATTCACACTGTGTTGGAAGTAGGTTTCTAGTTTTGGGTTTCCCAAGGCTGTTACCACTTATCCTGCTATTACAAATAACAGTTTGGAGAAATGTGTAACTTGCATACTTAAGACAAAATGCAGAATATCGCTTCACGGCAGATGCTGCTGTTTGTGTGTCAAGTGCAAGGTCTTCACACATTCTAAGGTTTGCATAGATAGCACCAGTAGTTCCTCTCTTTGCTGTTTTTTCCTGAAAATTATCCTATGTGCCAATTTTATCAGTTGGTGTTGAAGCTGGTCAGAAAATGAATCTTACTTATGCCTGTATTTCAACCTTAATTATGGTCTTTGCAAGGAAGCTCACTGAACTGCAGCTCTGGCATGTACACTAGAGGGAACCTACTGTGTGAGAAGACTAGATATTTGATCTGGAATCCAGATATCAAGAAGAACTGTGACATCATAAGGACACAACAAAATTACTGTCCTGAAAATGATGCCCTACTCTGTCATCCATGATGGCTCCTGGTTAAATCATTTCTGATTTTAACTGCTAAGAAAGTCAAATGCCCATTTGTGCAGGAAATCAGACCTGGAGACTGCTACCTAGAGATCCCTAAAGGATGCAGCCTGTAAGGAATGTAAGGCTCAATATATGGATCTGAGGTTAAACAGTCATAAGCACATGATGATTCCTTGTGTGAGCCCAGGATCAGAGCACATTGTATCGGCTCTACGTTTATGTAAGCCTCTTTAGATGGTGGGGAATGCCTAGCTCTGCCCTTGCCTTCCCTTGAATGTAGATACTTTTGCATGCAGTTTCCCTGGAGGGGTTTCTTAGGACAATACTTGTTAATGATGAAGTCACCGGGAAGGGTAACCTATTTAACAAATGCCAAAAACGTCAGACTAAAGGCTCAAATATTGCAGCTATGTTGTGAACAGGCACAACACATTTAAATCACTCGGGTGAACAAACAAGAATACTGTTCATTTTGACAGAGAGAAAACTAAGTCACATAATGAGATTCAGTAGTATATTTAACATGATGGCACAGATAAGGGGGAGGGAGAACTGGAAACAAAACAAACAGAAAGATTTCCTTTAAAGATTTAAAAAAATTAATAATAAACATAGACTGCAAACACATTACAGTCAGTCTCCACATCTGAAGAATTATATCTGATAGCAATCAGTACAAATAATTCAATACATACAAAACAACCAAATGTTTTTGTTTATATGTGTCACGAGTATCTTATATTCACTGCATGAAATGACCACAACTGCCCAGCATTAGCAACCTGCCAGTTTGTCCTGTTCCAGACATTTGGCAATGGTGTTCAGCTGAATGTTGCTGGTCCCTTCGTATATAGTACCTGGGGATTCATCAACATTGACAATATTGAACTCACTGCATTTATTTTAAGTAGCAGACAAAGAAAGTATTACAGCATGGAGATTAAGAGTAACATTTCTGTGTGTACTCCACTATCTTACTCTGGCTCAAAGAATAATTTCTGTCATCTTTTTCTTCAATCCTACTGTTGGAAAACTTATATCAGGAGGCCAGTAGCTGTAATGAAGGCTATGCTAGAGTCCAAATCTCCCTGTGTGTCATACAGCTTTGGTTTGACTGAGATACAGGTCAGACTGAGGTTGGAACAGGCCAGATGAGGTTGGAACAGGCCAGACTGATTGGAACAGGCCAGACTGAGGTCAGAACAGACCAGACTGAGTTCAGAACAGGCCTGATTGTGGTCCGAAGAGGCCAGAATGTGGTCAGAACAAGCTAAACTGAGTTCAGAAGAGGCCAGACTGAGTTCAGAAGAGGCCAGACTGAGGTCAGAACAGGCCAGACTGAGGTTAGAACAGGCCAGACTGAGGTCAGAATAGGCCAGACTGAAGTCAGAACAGACCAGACTGAGGTCAGAACAGACCAGACTGAGGTTAGAACAGGCCAGACTGAGGTTAGAACAGACCAGACTGAGGTTAGAACAGACCAGACTGAGGTTAGAACAGGCCAGACTGAGGTTAGAACAGACCAGACTGTGGTTAGAACAGACCAGATAGAGGTTAGAACAGACCAGACTGAGGTTAGAACAGACCAGACTGAGGTTAGAACAGACCAGACTGAGGTTAGAACAGGCCAGACTGAGGTTAGAACAGACCAGACTGAGGTTAGAACAGGCCAGGCTGAGGTTAGAACAGGCCAGGCTTTGGTTAGAACAGGCCAGACTGAGGTTAGAACAGGCCAGACTGAGGTTAGAACAGACCAGACTGAGGTTAGAACAGGCCAGACTGAGGTTAGAACAGGCCAGGCTTTGGTTAGAACAGACCAGACTGAGGTTAGAGCAGGCCAGACTGAGGTTAGAACAGACCAGACTGTGGTTAGAACAGACCAGACTGAGGTTAGAACAGGCCAGACTGAGGTTAGAACAGACCAGACTGAGGTTAGAGCAGACCAGACTGAGGTTAGAACAGGCCAGGCTTTGGTTAGAACAGACCAGACTGTGGTTAGAGCAGGCCAGACTGAGGTTAGAACAGGCCAGACTGAGGTTAGAACAGGCCAGGCTTTGGTTAGAACAGACCAGACTGTGGTTAGAGCAGGCCAGACTGAGGTTAGAACAGGCCAGACTGAGGTTAGAACAGGTTAGAACAGACCAGACTGAGGTTAGAACAGACCAGACTGAGGTTAGAACAGGCCAGACTGAGGTTAGAACAGGCCAGACTGAGGTTAGAACAGACCAGACTGAGGTTAGAACAGGCCAGACTGAGGTTAGAACAGGCCAGACTGAGGTTAGAACAGGCCAGACTGAGGTTAGAACAGGCCAGACTGTGGTTAGAACAGGCCAGACTGTGGTTAGAACAGGCCAGACTGATGTTAGAACAGGCCAGACTGTGGTTAGAACAGGCCAGACTGATGTTAGAACAGGCCAGACTGATGTTAGAACAGGCCAGACTGAGGTTAGAACAGACCAGACTGAGGTTAGAACAGACCAGACTGTGGTTAGAACAGGCCAGACTGATGTTAGAACAGGCCAGACTGATGTTAGAACTGAGGTTAGAGAACAGGCCAGACTGAGGTTATAACAGACCAGACTGAGGTTAGAACAGACCAGACTGTGGTTAGAACAGACCAGACTGATGTTAGAACAGGCCAGACTGATGTTAGAACAGACCAGACTGAGGTTATAACAGACCAGACTGAGGTTAGAACAGGCCAGACTGTGGTTAGAACAGACCAGACTGATGTTAGAACAGGCCAGACTGATGTTAGAACAGACCAGACTGAGGTCAGAACAGACCAGACTGAGGTTAGAACAGACCAGATTTGAGGTTAGAACAGACCAGACTGAGGTCAGAACAGACCAGACAGAGGTTAGAACAGACCAGACTGAGGTCAGAACAGACCAGACTGAGGTCAGAACAGACCAGACTGAGGTTAGAACAGACCAGATTTGAGGTTAGAACAGGCCAGACTAAGGTTAGAACAGACCAGATTTGAGGTTAGAACAGGCCAGACTAAGGTTAGTAGTCTTTTCATAATCCTCAAATATTAGGGTTTTATTTTTGCTGCAGTCGGTTTATAAAAAATAAACATCGTTCTTATAGCTTTTGGATAGCTATATGAGCGTTGCACCATGGAAGTGACTGGGGCCTATCTTGTAATATTTCAAAGACAGCAGTAGATGCATTGCATACAACCTCCAATGAAGATATGGCAACATTTTAATTTAATTAAAGCACTTCAGTGTTCACAGAACATTCTAGATCATTGTAGTAAATAAAACAGAAGTCAAAATGTAGGCTAACAATAAACATCTGTAGATAGCGAGAAAAAAAATTAAATATAGAGAGAGCAAGAATTGGCAGATGAGATGACAAGGTAACTTCTTCAGCTGTCAACATTTGCATATGCATCTATTTCGGCACAGTTCACAAACAACCAGGTTTACTCCAGGTCTTCCTCACTGCCCTGTAATTTTCTTGCGTGACCTCTCTTCAATGAGCCAGATTTTTTCTCTCTGACTGGCAGTCTAGACAATTTTATAAGTTAAGCTCTGGAGTCTGATTTGGCTTGACTGCGTCTTAACCGCATATGTCAGAGTCAGTGAGGCCCATTTAGTAAGATGTATGTTTATGAGGAGTTCCACAACAGACAAGAGTTGGCAGTGGCAGCATTTGATTTTTAGGATGTCTACAATAGAAAAAGATATGTTATTTAGATATATCTGTGCTCACCGAGAAGGAAGTCTGTCCCTGGCTGGTGAATTGGACAGTAGCTGTTCTGTATTCTCGTATGGCTGCCCTCTGCCTAGATACATTACCACAGACCATGTTATATCGCCCCGAAACTATCCCATAGTTCTGCAGTTCCACCAGGGCTCTTCAATGCGTATACAAACAAGACTGCAGAACTTGAAGTACCAGGGGTTGGAAGTAGATTGACATTTGCAGATGATGTTCTTGCATACAGACAAGGGAGGCCATAGACAACACAAGTTTCAAGAGCTACAGGCAGTTGTAGATAAAGTGACTGACTGGTGTGCAGAGATATGTCTTGTCCTCAACAGAGAAAAGGCGACTGTTTTATGGTGCTCTCTGGACTATAGCATTGTTCGAGCTGATGTCATAAGCCTCACAATGTTCCAGCACTTTATCCTCTCAATGGTGGATTATGGACTCAGAAACTTAGTTGATAAAACTTGCAAGCACACAAAGTTAAACCATTCAAGTGATTCAAGATTATACAAGAGCTACCCCTTGTAGCATGTATGCAATTTATATGTGCACTGCCAACAATTACAGGCAGACTCAAAGTTGTGCAAACAAAGTCATATCTCAGAGTAGCCGAGTAAAAGAAACACCTGCATGAAGCCGTAGACATAGCTAAGGGTTAGAGACTAAAAAGAGGAAGGTTTTGGATGGCCACGCTAAAGACACAACTAGACATGTGTGCATGATTGATAATATTGGGTGAGGAGAGGAGGGTTCTCAGCACACTGGGCCAAGGGTGTGGGTTTGGCCAATGGGTTCTGCAGAATCAGAAGATTAACTGACCCATTACAATATCTGCCCAGATGAAGTTATTGTCTATAAAGATGGCTCTGTGTTGAGAGGCAGAAGAAGTACACGTGCAACAGTCTGGTGTATGATACAACATCTAATTTGAGAATGGAGGTGGAGGCAGTCAATGCAGTCTTACAATGGCTTGGGAACTAGCTGCACACACATGCCGTGACTGTAACTGGCTCACAGACCATGTAGAGACAGTATGCTCTGTGCACAGTGGCAAGTATTGCTCCAGAGATCCTTTGAATATTTCTTCAGGGTATGCAGGTGTTTTGGGAAATGAACAGGATGCCTGGTTCTGCACCACTTGGTGTTAAATTGTCGTATGCCACACTAGATGTTGTCCGGGCATTTTGGGGGTGAGTAAACAGTGCAGAGGCACAATTAGTTTATCACAGTCTGAAAAGAATGATTTAGCAGGGAGTGGCCAGGGGATCTGGCCGCACACTCAACAGGGCAGGGGTGAGATGAACACACATCTGCTACTAGTACCATCAGAATTTGAACTCTGCGACCGCTGCTGAAGATGGGGACCAAACACATATGGGAATGTCCTGAGTGCTATGCTGTCAGTTCTTAACTCAACTGGTGTAGTGTACTCAAAGTTTACAGCAATGACGTTACAATATAGATATGTTCATTTGCAAACACAGAAGAGACAAAAATGAAAAAGTTACAAACATCAAATGTTGAAATTACCAATTTTACAGTCGCGGAAGTACTTCTCTACTGGGTAATCTCTTGTGAAACCTACACCGCCCATCCATTCAATGCTCTTTGATGTGGTCAGGGTGGCTACCTGCAGCAGAATTTGTCAAAATATTAAAATATGTGATAATCTCCCACATGAGAAACTAATGACCGATGGCACGCAGTTTATTTCTTTTCCTTCTTCTTCTCTGCATTCACCTGCGGTAAACCCCAGTGAAAAGTTCTGGCTGTTCACCCACTTCTGGACAATGGTCTTGTCCCAGTACTGGAGTTTTGCATACAAGTGCGTTACAAAGATCTTGCTAATCTGTATGCAGACTGTTGGTTCCTCACGATGAAGGAAACATCCCTAATTAGTCGCCTTGTATGATATGCTTGTTAGGGAGGCAGTGGGTCCATTCTTGTCCCCTATTTCTGCATCTTCTGTTTTCCATACTGCTATGGACGTAAAAACGCGATTTCGACTTTCTGTACAGACTGCTAAGGATCGTAATTCTCGTGGGTGAAATAGCAATTCACATTACCCAAAGTCAGACCAAACCGACCCATCTGCATATGATTTTTAAAAACCCTATCACGTGCATTTAGGTTATTTAGATGCGTTCATCATACATTATCTCTCCACCATCTTCTTGGTCTGCCTTGTGGTCTACAACCATTTATTTCCCTTGTGTATACAGTTTTTACCTCTCTGTCATCTGACATTCCCTCAATATGCCCCATCCATTTCAACCTATTAGCTCTCATGATGCTAGTGATCAATGGTGATTTAAACAGATTATGAAATTTGTTATTGCTTCTTACTCTCCATTCCCCGTTGTTTACATCTTTGATGGGTCCAAAGATTCATCATAATACTCTGTTTTCTAAAACCTGTAATAAGCCTTCATCTCTTTCAGTTGTGCTCCAAGTATCACAGCCATATAAAATGACATTTGTCTATATGTTTAAAAACATAAAAAGGCAGGAAAAGTGCTAATTTAAGTTTGATGAAGAAGTAAAGGTATTTCTTTCAAGGAGTAATAGTTCTTCTTCACATTCACCGGCTTTAACCCCAGCAGAATGTTTGAAATATGCGAGTTATGAGTTGGCACTTTCTGGCATGTTGGCAGGCATGTGTACTTATGGCTATGCACAATATCATCTGACCCAGCCATAAACATGGACTGGATTTGAAATGGTTCCCCCAGTGATCAACAAGAGCATATTGTGACATAATGATTGAAATTATTTTCTTCTTTACTGTACAACGAACAATGCATGCATCTATCTTACACAGTGTATAATGCTGATCTTATTTTTAGTTGTTATTCACATGCAATTCTAGTAAAGTGGGTATCACATTCACCTTACAGTCAAAAGGTCCTGCGACAACCCCTCCATTACTTCTTTTTTCCCCACATATTTTTGTGTGTGTAAATTTTCAGTTTCAGTTTTTAGCGCTTTTGGCAACAGATCACCCAAGTGTTCAAGGAAACATTTGTATTACTTTTTATTTATACAGGTACATTTGTCAAGGAAAATAAATAAACAGACAAATGTCAAAAGAAAATGTACAAATATTGTTTTTCATAAACAGAAAATTGTTAAAAGAAAATGTACAAATATTGTTTTTCATAAACAGACAACTGTCAAAAGAAAATGTACAAATATTGTTTTTCATAAACAGAAAATTGTTAAATGAAAATGTACATATAATTACTGTTCATAAAAGGAACATTTTCAAAGAGAATGGTACATATATTTATAGATCATGAATGAAAAATTGGCAAAGAAAATTGTAAACTTAATTACTATTCATAAACGGGAAAATTGTCAAAGTAAAATATAAATATAATTATTGATTATAAATGGAGACAAAAAAGTTATCTTTTACTGCAGAAGTCATTAACAAATCACATCCTCTTAACATGACACCGAAATCATAAACAAACCACATCCTCTTAACATGACACAGAAATCATAAACAAACCACACATTTCTTTTACCTCAGAAGCAAAGTATTTCACCATGGCGGCTTCCTTGACCACTGGCAGACCTAGCTGGTGCATCCTGGCAGCATTGCACATCATGACCCGCCCAATGTGGATTTGAGTTGCCACATGGGCAATCTGATGCTGCATGCCCTGTAGATACAAAAGTACAACAAACTCACACTTTTTTAAATCTTATCTCATTGTTACTATGGATTAGTTAGTTAGTTAGCTGGGTTATCATCATCGCACTCCAGACCTATCCATAGGTGCTCAGACCCTCCCTCTATATGCTCTCCAGCCTCCAGTGGCTAATAGTACCAGATCTCTGTTGATTAACAAGATGGTGTGCGACTCATTTTTTGCTATGGCGATCTTAACTCCCAAGTCGGCAGTGATAGCAGATCCAGCCAACCTTATTGTTACTATGGATGTTTCCAGTCCAATATGGTGGTTAGGTGGGCTGACTGATTTAGCTGTGGAAAAAATATTTACTTCTAGCCATGATAAGCTACTACACATTTAGTTATGTCATTCAGTTAATGAGCTGAGTCAGCTGCACAACAAGAGAAAACGGCAAGTGGCCAGTTACTTCAGAACTGGTATTGCATTACGCAATACAGTGCTGCTGATTTATTGTAATTGTTTCTATCAACAACAAACAGTAATTCTAATGGTGGAATGCTTGTGCGGGCACTTCTAGAGTGAGAATGAAGGTGGAGGCAGTCACTGTGCCTTCTGTTGGCTTGAGAATTAGCTGTACACACATGTTGTAATCGTAACCGACTCACACAGCCTTTTGAAAAAAGGTGGAAACTGGTAAACTTCGTGAAGAGTGGCAAGCATCGGGTCCCAGGTTGTTGGCATCCTTTTGGATATTTTCTCCAGGACATGCTAGTATATTAGAAAATTAACGGACTGGCTGGTTGTGAACAATTTGGTGGTGAAGGACGCATGATAAGCTAGATGTTGGAAAGGCCCTTTGGGGGCGAGTGAACAGTGCAGACACACAGATGGATCATCATGGTCTGAGGCGAATGGTGCTGTGAGGGGTGACCAGGGGATCTGGCCAATGATGAACGCTCGAGAGAAAGGTGAGATGGATATAAAATTAGACTGTTACTGGTACTGCTATCACTGCAATAGGAACTATGCACTTGCTGCTTAAGACGAGCACGCAGCGCTTACGGGAATGTCCCAAGCACTGTGATGTGGATTCTTAATTACACATTAAATGGCTGCCTTTTGCATTCATTGCATATGTACGCCATTAGCTCAGCCAAGACTGCAGTCTGTTTCAGTTATGTAGGTCTTTCAGCCTGAGGATTTAGTACTGCATAGCTAGTGAAGTCATCACATACTGTGCTTTTATAGGATTTTATTTTTGCTGCGGGCAGAAACACCTAACCTTACCGGCAGATTCAAACCAGCGTCTCCGGCATGAAAGCCCAGCATTCTTAACTGTTTGGCCAGCCGTCCCTCGCCTTAGCAGTAACATCCTAAATAAGTGATCCATAAAAGTATTAAGTTACATACCTGGAAGTCATAGATTCTTCTCCCAAACTGTTTCCTTTCACGGGTGTAATCAACAGCATGATTGAAACATCCTTGAGCAAGCCCTAACATCTGTAGATGCAGGTCAGCCATGATTACATAAAAATGTCCAGACAATTTACACGAACACAAGCAACCAATTGCACAATAAGAAAAAGGAAGCAGTAATGTCTAAAATCATTTCTTTAGTATAATTCTCAGAAATACCAGAACATAGTTGAGTTGTTTTGAGAGATATGATTGCAAGAGCATAGAAAATGAGGCATGGAGAGGAGAAAGAGGGAGAGAATGAAAAAGAAAAACAGAGACTTGAAAACAGAGAGAAATACAAATCTGGACTAACAGAAAGAGAGAGAGAGAGAGAGAGAGAGAGGGAGAGAGAGAGAGAGAGAGAGAGAGAGAGAGAGAGAGAGAGAGAGAGAGAGAGAGAGAGAGAGAGAGAGAGACTGAGATACGGACAGAAATACAGAATTAGACAGAGAAAGAGGGAGACACAGGCAAGGATAGAAAAAGGGAAAGAGACAGAGAGATAGGCACAGTGAGAGAATAACCTAAAGATTACATCAAGTGTTCCATCGCAACCAAAAGTTGAGACAAAATGGTTTAAAACATGCACATACAGTTAAAGGCTAACCTGGGCTGCTATCCCAATGCGGCCACTGTTCAACATCTCAATGGCGTACTTGTAGCCTTTCCCAAATTCCCCGAGGATGTTGCTCTCTGGAATCTAAAATAAAAACCCAGACATAAAACGTGTCCCTCATATATAACACAAGCCACATAAAGACTTCACAGAACTAACATTTTGAATGCCATGAATTATTCGTGTGGATTCCAGTTGTGGGGAAAGCAAGAATAGATCCACTGTCTTTCCAACACGAAAGTCATAGAAGTCGATTAACTGAGTGCATCCTTCAAAGACAGAGTAGGTCCGCCTGAGAGGCTAGGATGCCAAAAGTCTGCATTCAATAAGCCAGATCTGTGAAATGGATGTGCACACAACACCCATGTTCTGAAAGAAGACTAAAGTGGATAGACACCCTTTCTGTCAGAGGAATACCATATATCACATAATGAGCTATTAGGAAGGATTGATAGGACTGATTTACAAACAGCTACTTCTTCTTGCAGAAAACAATGCAAAATCCTACAAATCTAAAACAAGTCTAGAGATAAGACGACAAAGTGTAGGTTGGCTGGAGGCCTATGTTGCTTCTAATTTTCTTCTTGGCTTTCTCTAGTTACTTTATTAAAGTGTTTGTAAGAGATTTGATTTTGATTTGATTTGATTCAAGAACCGACATCACACCACTCAGGGCATTCCCATAAGCGCTCCGTCCCCATCTTTAGCAGCCAGCGAAGAGTTCCAATACTAATGGTGCCAGTAGCATTATGATTAAATGTCTGTCTTGCCTTTCCTCTGAGCCTCGAGAATCTGCCAGAACCTCTCGTCACTCCCCCCTGCATCGATCTCACCAGACTGTGGTGATCAATTTGCTCCTCCGAACTGTACACACTCTCCCACAAGGCACTAACCACGTCTGCCTTATCATGTATCAGTATTCCACCAAGTTGTGCAGAGCCAGCCAGTGTCCGCCTGTTCATTTCCCAACACACCGTCATGTTGCAAGAGATGTAATGACCTTCTGTGGGCTCTTCCAATGTGATGTATAAGCTGGTCTTCATTTCCTTAAGGCTGCTCTTGATCCATTTCTACTCGGTCTTCTTCTGGCTCAATGTCCATTGTATTTTTTCAGTGTGACACACTGGGTAGTTGGTACTAGGGCATTCTCAGCAGATAGTTAAACCATCCCATCTGTTGCTAGGCTGCGATTCCAGTGTAAACACTTTCTAACATCTCAATGGCATACTTGCTGACTTTGCCAATTTCACTGAGGGTTTTGCTCTGAGGCAACTGAAACCAAACCAGAAAAACCTGAAATAAACTGTACAATCCACCCCGGTTCTCTCTCTCTCAGTAGTAAAAACACCCTTATAACACCAGTGGCATATCGGGTGTATCAATGGATGATGTGTTGAACATCATGCTGGGCCTCTTTATTTCCCAGGACATTTCCTGGTACCCATTCTAGGCTGGGTCGACCTGGCAGCCAAGGTCATTTATTAAAAAATCTGACCTGATGCGGATTCAAATCAACAACCTTCGGGCCGGCAGGCAGAGCATCTGGCCGCAACACCACCATGCCTCCCAGAAGGTATGGGTAGGCTTCAGTGTTGTTACTCACTGCTTCCATTATGGACATACTTTCCTGTGTGGGTTCCAGGGCCCCGTTTCTTGAGGAAGGTGGGGGGTAATAACAGATTAATTGATCCTTAACAATCAGGTCATAAAAGGTCAATGGTTAAAGATTAGCTGGGCTGAAAGATGCAGATATCACAGCCGTTGTATACCCCAGCACAGTGCAGCAATCGCTCTTACAAAGATGAATGGAGGAAAACACAGAAGTGGTGACTTCAAATGTTAATCTTTAAATTTAATGCATGTTTTCCTTCTCTCATTAATCTGAACCTATTCACTTCACTGTGTTTCCTTTGCAAGCATCCTTACATCATGATAACACACTCCGAAATCTGTCAAATGATATATGATTATACTATACCTTGACATTGTCAAAAGTGACAGAGCAGGTACTGGAAGCTCTGATACCAAGTTTGTCCTCTTTCCTCCCAACATTGACTCCTTCGGTCTCTCTGTCAACAATAAAACATGTGATTCCCTTGTAGCCCTGTGGATATAAATATGTAAATATCATCGTAACCATATACTAGCCTTGTTTACTGATTACTTATTTAACACACTATGCATACCCACAGGGAGCCACCATGGTCCTAGCGGCCTGCGGATCAGGTTGTAGGTTCGGTTCCTGATGGGGGGATGGACTTTTTTCAAATATGACCTTGGCTTCCTGGTCTACCCAGCCTTGAGAGGGTAAAAGGTGCAGTCCCGGGAAGTAAAGGCAGCCGGCATGATCCTGACCACATCACCCACCCAATGCTGTTTGGTCTATAAAATAAACGTCTAGCCCTATATGCCCAATACACAGGAAAGGCGTGGAAAAGGGTCCTTTACTTTTTACTTTTATGCATATCCACAGACAGGGCTGTATGAACAGTTTTATGGACCTCCCCTCCGGACAAACTAGTGTGCTGGGGTCCCAATGACAACCACTGACAGAAATGAAATTGTGAATGGTCGACAATATTAAGTAAAAGTAAACAAAGTAAAGAACCCTTTCCAGGCCCTTAGGCATATTGGGCATATAGAGCTAAACCTACATTTTACTTGACCAATCGCCAATTGGTGTGATGTGGTCAGCATCATGCCGACTGCTTTTACTTCCCAGGATTGCACCGACAATATTCAATAAATATTTATGTTACTGACACTTAAACAAAACTGTTTTAAATAAAAAAGATTTAACGACAGTTCAAAATTACTATCAACTTCTTTACAAACACTTGCAGCATTTTTTTTCCACAGAGTTGCTTTATTGGCTTGAAGTCATTGGTCTTAAGGATGCCCTTTTCCGTGCACATGAGTGAAAGCCAGTTCAAACTATGCTGCCCCATTGTACTACAAAGCATATCTGTTATAAGTTTTGGTCTTGAAAGTGAACGTTCTCCTGTACAATTGGTTATCATCATGCACATGAACACTCTGAGCGCAATTTCAACATTTGAGAGAACAAATTGCAAATTGTTCAAAATTATTCTTCTGTTCAGTGCAGTGAGAAGTGGCACAATGGTTATAAAGACTCATGTAGTACTTGACATACTTACATACAGAGACAGAACGGGAAATATAATTTTGGCTTTATATTACAAAGAATTAATGTAAACATCAAATAAATTTTTATTTGGATTATAAGTTGCCAATCCACATCCAGACAGAAGAGTATTTGACAAAGAAGACCAAAACAGTGCAATGTAAAAAAAGCCACCCTAGCTCTACTTGATGACGAATACCCACATAATCTTTGGGTTTGTGTCCATACGGATGGGTCAGCACAAAACGCAAGCTGAAATGGAGAAGCAGGGGTGTATATTCCAGATCGTCATCATCATGTAGCAGGTCCTTTGCAGAACGTCGCTTTCATCACAGTCTGCCTGTAATAAACTCGGTTTCTTGCCAGTTCTCCCGCCTCATGAACTTTCACACACAAGGAGTCACTTATATCCTGTGCCCATCTTCATGTCAGTCGGCCTCTGCATCTCCTTCCTGGTACCATGCCTTCTGCTATAATTTTTTCCAATCCGTTGTGGCGCTTGATGTGACCAAAATATTTCAGCTTCCGATGCTTTTTATTAGCCAATCTTCCTTGATGTTCAGATCTTTTAAGATGTCAATTTTTCTCATCTTCTTTGTCCAAGATATTCTGAGAATCTTTCTATAGCATTTCAGCTCAAAAGCCCCTATTCTCTTTCTTAAGGACAAAGAAATAGTCCACGACTCACATCCGTATGTAGCTACAGGGAAGATGCATGCTCTCAAAATTCTAATTTTTATCTCCTTGCTGGTGCTTAACCATAGACTTTTAAGGCTGTTCAATCTTTGCATTGCTATGGCCATCCTCCTTTTAATTTCTGTCGAACAGTCTCCATTGTTGTTTATTATAGAGCCTAGATATTCAAAGTTTGTGACATTTTCAATTTCTTCATCATTTATTGTTATTTTTGGGTGACAGCCAGTTTTATCTGTGGACATTATTTTTGTTTTCTTTAAATTCAAGAACAGATTTTGATCTTCACTGTGCTTTAAGACAGACAATATAAAATTTTCTATTCCCTTTGCGCTGTTCAAAAGGAGGACTGTGTCATCTGCGTAGCGGAGATCACAACTACCCTTACTTGCTCTGCCATCGTTCTCTTCCCCAGTTCGCATTTGTCATCTGCCTGGCCTGGGGGCCTCACCATCAGATCTTTGAGTTTCATTTTTTGCTTCCATGATGAGTTTCTTGGAGATAGTAATGTGGTAGTTTCCTGTTGCTTTCCACATCCACATGGCTTTAGACCATGTCCTCAGCCTTCAGCAACCTTTTCGATTGCTAGGGCAAGTGAGTGCCCTGCTCTGTGATGCTCCTGCTAACAGCAGAGGGCACCCCAGAGGTGTCCACTTATCCCGGCGGATACTTGGTCCCCATAGCTGCGTTGGCCACACCGCAGTGTGTTTACCGTCCTCTAACGCGTGGAGGTGCAGTTGGGGTTTTCCTTTCACTGAGTCTTGAGACCAGAATGGCATTTCTCAAAACTCTCCAGTACTTTCAGAGGACATATTCCAGATATACAGCCAAAATACCAACAGGAAAGCACTGTTACAACTATGTTGGAGAGGTTCGAGATGTCAAAATAGTGGCAGAGAAACTGTTAAATATACGTCATATTTCACAACCTGCGGTATTTCTGACAGATGCAAGAGCAGTGCTTCAGGCACTATAATCTGGAAAACAATCTGGTATACGAACACTAATCTCCAAAATAGGCAGCCGGTGTAAGGTAACTTACACAATGGATACCATCCCATCGTGGAGTTCCTGGAAATGAAAGAGCGGATAAACTAGCTAAGGAAGGTGCAAATGAAAAACAACCTGACGTACCAGTCTCTTATCAACAAAAGAAGAGATTAATCTAATCAATCAGAAAGCCACCAAAACTGGCACAAGACGATTTCCATTTTATGGACAGACCAGAGCAAGTTATTATTCTACGCCTTAGAACAGGACACAATCGACTTCGCAGCCACAGGTACACAACATTGAATATCGGCAAATCAGCCATGTGCACATGTGGACTGGCACCAGAGACAACAGATCACGTCCTCCAAGACGCCCCCAAATACAACATATCAAGGCAAAACTTTTGGCCAAAAGAAACATCAGTGCAAGTCAAACTTTACGGGTCGCTGAGTGAATTACAAAAGACAGTGAAGTTCATACTAGAGACAGCACTGCAGATATAGATAATATATTTCAAGTGAACGGAAGAAGAAGAAAAAACACATTTTTATTTATGGCAAGTTACTTGACACACAGAGATTAGCACAGGGCCCCTATAGCCGTGAGACCTCTGGGCAAGTATTGAGCTGACCCATGCGTTAGGACGGCCCTGCCCATAGATGCTCCATCTGCAGCAGCAAATGTCTTAAGGTGTAGACGCTAACTGTTCCCGTAACACACTGATTATACACACAACCAGTAAGCATTGATAATCTTTGGCTGCCATCTTATCAATCACGTGAATTTCTAATCAGATCTGTGGTTCTGACCCAAATATATCATCTGACCAAATTATCTAAACATTCCCCTCTGTCTTACTCAAGCTCTTTTACCATCAAGTTTTCTGCTATTAATAATTTCAAATTCCTTCTCCTCATAACATGTCCCAAAATCTCTGGACTATTAAAATGCATACTACCTGCACAACCTATTGCTCCTTGAATCTCACTAAAAATTAACAACAACAACAAAGTTACCAAACTTACAGCTGTAGGTCTGGCGTTTGCCATCACTAGAAAAACGCCGGCATGTTCTGCATTGGTGATCCACACTTTTGTTCCATTCAGAATGTAATAGCCTTTATCCAGAACTGCTGATGTCCGCAACGAGAAGGCGTCTGATCCAGACTCTGCCTCAGAGAGGCAAAAGCTTCCTATCTGTAGAATGAGGTTTGAACAACGGATCAACATCATGGCACATGAGTAGTAACCCATAAGTGCTCTGTTATACTTCTAACTCAAGTCTGAGTCCGAAGTAGCTCAGCGCAGTGCAAGGACTCCATAGCACCGGCGAGGATCCTGAAATATTTTGGGTAGATTTTCAACTTCAAATTTGGCCCGGGCAGTGACGATAGGCTACTCTTTTCGATTTCCAACTGCCAAGGGATTATTTTACGTGAGCAACAATACACACGGGCGTTCCATCTCACTAACCAGAGACTAGGGGAAATTAATAGAAGTCCACGTGAATAGAAAAAAATCCCAGCCTTCAGCGGGGCTTGAACTCGCGACCTCTAGCACTCTAAGCGGACACTATACCTCGAGACCACACAGTCCCCTACCTATCTGTAGATAAGAGTTCTATGCTGTTATGTATTTTAGTTTCATATAATGTACACTGTTGTTTAAACTTAGCATGCATTACAGATAAAATGCAAAAGAAGCCTGAAAGATGAGTCTTTGGAAGCACCGAACGTAAGAAGAGCCTGGGTGCCTGATTTGTGAAACTTTGAAAATAAAGTTAGTTTATCTGTTCAGTTATGACTGCAGTAAAAACCTGCCCACATAGCGGATAGATGTCTGTACAGAAACATGTCTGTCTACACCACTGGCACAGCACCTTGTGTACATAAAGACGTCTGTCTATGCCACTGGCACATCACCAACTACATCATCATACAGTGCACCGACAACAGGTGTGAGTGCTCATGCTTCTCCCCAACAGCACATGGGCAGTGCCTGTCTTAACACACGGGTCCACTAAACCTATGACCGGGAAAACCAAGAGCACAGGGATCCCATGATAATCTCTGTACATAAAATTCTGCAAAACCGAAAAGGCTGAAAAGGTCCTACTCTTTACTTGATTTATGTGATACATCTTCCATCTGATGTTATTTACATGTTTAGATCATTTCTGTACTTGCTCCTACATTAACATCACTGACTTTACAGGTGTTTCAGATTTACACCCCCTAAAATATTTACCATTATTTGTGCCTTTAAATTAATCAAGCTGAGCACATTTTTCATTTTCTTTATTCACTGTATGTATCATTTTCTATGGTTACTTCTGACTTGTTGCAATCAAGACACCGTCGTGAGCATAATATAACAGTACAATCCATACAGGCATTGTAAACTTAATAGGTAGAAATAGACTTTACACAAATGTGACTTCATATGAAAATCTCAAAAGTGATGAAAACATGGGTAACTGCAGTCAAGCTAATACCAAGAAATTAATACCATGAAGTCTAAAAAGCTTAACAAGGGTGGGTAGGGTGGGGGGGGGGGGGGGGGGGGGGGGGATTGACAAATACTTGAATACAGCAAGCTTTAACTTGAACAAATGTCGAGCCATGAAGCCACTGACACATGTACATTTACTGCTCTAACGATGTTCCCGTAAGTCAATGCGCCAGAAGTTTGTTGTCTAGGGTAATAGCGATTGCGTAGTACATTCTATTTACTGTCGTTATATCTAGATATTTCTCACCGTCAGTACACGGGGTTTGCACAGGCGGAGGGGGGATGGGGGTAGTGGGAGCAATGTACACAGACAAGAGAACATATGCATTTTTTATTTTGTGTGTGTGTATATTGTCCTCTCCTTCCTTTTTCATTAAGATTCTTGGTCACAGTTTAGTGTATCAATTTATCCACAATATGAACATGAACACAACTGGTGACCAGAAAAAATTTAATGAATTTTTTGCACTGAGCACACACTATTATAAAGAAGCTCAATAAAAGAAGGGGAAAAATACTAAGAGAAACAATTAAATGTTTATACTGAAGTCTTTATTGACAAGCACCACAACAGAAGAAGAATCCTAGAAGCCAGCTCAGCAAGGAGTCATATGAATAACCATAAGTGTCTATGCTTGTATAGGAAAGGGAAAAAAGGAAACAAAACTGAAATAAAAGAATAAATTTAGTAACAATAATTCTAATAATACTAGTCAAAGTAATAACAGTAATACAGTAAACCTTGTTAACATAAACTAACTTAAGAAGAACTCTTGGTTAAGATGCACACAATTCTGGTCCATGCAAGGATGTTTTCATATGAGTCCCTGATTAGCGCAATTATTTTATTTTAATAACAAATTCTTGACTTTTCAGTCTTACGGAATTCATGTTAACAAGATTTTACTGTAGTAATCTGCTCCTGGCTCCCTGCTGATCTGATCAATCATAGCTTGTGTTCAAGGGTAATTAGTGTTCTTAGGTTATACTGGGTGTTGGGAAATGAGCAGTTGGATAGATTGGCCGGTTCTGCACCACTTGGTGGTGAACTGAGGTATGACAAGCTGGATGTTGTGAGGGCCCTTTGGGAGCGAGTAAACAATGTGGAGGCTCAAACAGTTCACTACGGCCTGAAGAGAGTGGTGCTGCCTGGAGTTACCAGGGGATCCAGCCAATGCTCAATACTCAAGGGAAAGGCAAGATGATGTACAATCGGACAGTTACTGGTGTCTTTTGAATTGCAAATTTCCCTGCTGCTGAAGATGGGGACGCAGTACTTATGGCAGTGACCCAAGTGCTATGATGTTGATTCCTAATTTAATATTTAATACTGTGTTCAGTAAATTCACTGTTGGATACCAGCTTAACTGCAGTCATTCCTATTTTCATCAATTTTATGAACAGAAAATTAGTTGTGCATCTTTGACAGTACATTGCAGAATCAATCCGAGAATTTTTGGCTGCTTTTGGTTTTTACTGGGCAATTCTACTTTTTCCACCACTTCATGAACGGTCGGTTCTCAATCACCTATCGAAATCAATGCCAGGCGGTTTGCTGAGAAACAGAAGAAACAGATTTCATAAGCTCACCATATCTGTAGCAAGTCTAGGGAGGTATTTCCGTTTCTGCTCCTCTGTGCCAAGTCTGACAATCAGCATGTTGACCAGTGTGTTCTGCACATCACACAGTACACTGACGGATGGATCCACTTTTGCTAACTCTTCTATGGCAATTGTGGCCACAAAAAAGGTTGAGTTTGTGCCGCCATATTCAGCAGGTATTTCAATTCCCAAAAGCTAAGAGCAGAGGGTAAAAGTTAAACAAAGGATTATTCAAATGGAAAAAAGTGAAAAGGTCTATCATTACTTTACACCACAGTTTTTTGTGTGTGTTTTTTGTTTTCAATATTAAAATATATTAAAGTTAAGGTACTATTTAAAATTGCTGCATTTTAGTTCAAAGGAGTTGGAGGCATATACAAAGGCACCTCAGGCCATGAACTTAATTCATTCTTTTACTTCGTTCACAAACAAAAAATTAATGCAAATTAACTGGCCTGCCCCAGAAACGTAAGTCTTTAGGGTGACTTTTTAACTTATTTTTATGAATTTATGTATTCAGCATGTTCATCACTGGTCTTTGAGATAGTTAGTTAGTTGCATCTCTTTACACGACGTTGCAGAACCAACACCAGCATTTTTGGGTGGCTGTTGTGGTTTTTCTAGGCAAATTTATATCCAGTAATTTGCCATTGCTTTCTGGACGGTTGGCTTCTCGATACCACTGTTAAAACCAACACAAGGCAGGCAGCTGGGATCAAACCCAGCACCCCGGCATTATGAAGCTTGTTAGCAACGACTAAGCCCCAGACGCCGGCCTAAGATAGTACAGATCATATATTTAGCAGTGCTGTACTGCTGGCAAGATCAGAAACATAAACATTGTTCCCATATTTAGTCATTATTTCCTGCTTTGTTTCCATTGTAATATGTTTAGGCTTCTTTACACAGCTGTCATACCATTTTTAACTTTATTGAGAGCAATAATGAGGATTAATTGAATGCACACACACACAAAAGCAACAAAAATAAAAGTTCCATCAAGAACAATGCAACAACAATGTTCACAGCGTACAAAACTAAGTACAACTGATGCTGTTCAAGAGCTGAAAACATGACACCAAAACCATGTTGCGCGCTCGTGTACCGGGGCACTGTTCGTGGGTCGAGCCAACATTTGTTCAGAAATTGTGTGCATCGGATGATTTGTTCATGACTAGAGGTGTTCGTGACCTGTGACCCGAGGTACCACAGTACTAGGTAATTGGTATCAACTCCGGTCCTTTTTAACCTATTTATCCAAAAAGGGAATAAAAGTCTCTCAAATCTTCTTAACTTTTCTAAAACCCTGAAAGTAGTTTTTTTTTTAAAGAACTAAATAAACTGCAACAAATCAACGGCTGAAGCAAATATGCTGGTGATAGAAAAGAACACACACTGTGCACGTCTATGCCATCTTCGAGGTTGAGATAAGAGACAAATAACCAGCTTCTCATGGGAACAATTAGTAGAAGTATCTTCGAGTGGCTGCTGCATTGGAGGACTGAGCAGGCATGGGAATGCCCAATGTGCAGTGATGTCGATTGTGATAACATAACACACTGTCAAAATGTGTTAAATTTTAACTAGAATTTTCTTCCCTTGGAATCCACAGTGTAAATTTTTAAAAAATTAACAGAGACCTAAAACACAGAGGATAGAATCAGAGACTGGGGGGGGGGGGGGGGGGGGAATAATATTTAGGAGAAGACATGGATGGAGCTGCAGAAGATGACAAAAGGCAGGAAAGCTTGTCATGAGTTGACTGAGATGAAATAGAGGCGGGATTTTTTTTTTTTTTAAACCTACTGGAGGATTAAAAACATCAGCAATTAAAAACAAAAACTGATACAATGAAAAGCTAAATGAAACAAAGACAGCATTAAATGCCACATGGAAAATAGAAGAGATACAAAAAGTTGGGGGGGGGGGGGGGGGATAGTAACATTTTAAAAAAAATATGTACCCCATTGTCGTGAAGAGCTTGAATGACTTCTGGTTTCATCTGACTAGTCCGATCCATCTCCGCTACAAATGGCTGTATCTTCTCTGCAGCCAAACGAGCCACTGGAGACATGTAAATGTATGTTAGTTACAATACATGCAGAGACAACTGTTGACCAGATCAAGAGGTTTATGAGAAGAATGTATTCAGCCAAGTGAGAATCTGAATATACATTCAGTCCTCCCCGTGTGGGTTTTGAGGCTCTATTGTGGGAAAAACAAGAACAGACTCACTGTCTACCCAAACTCATGTCCTAACAGTAAACTAATTAGGATCTTTCTTCAAAGTCATTGTGCATCTACCTGACAAGCAAAGGAACCAACACTAAGGAACCTAGTCCATACAGCGTTGATGATATCAGCTCCTGTCCATACTTCTTCTCATTGGTATTGGTGCATTACTTGCCAGCTGGTCAGCTCTTTCATTACCATTTACTCCTGTGTGACCAGGTGTGTAGATCCAGATTAAGGAGGTTAAATGCAACGTTCTAAAGCTTTCTAACCATTCAGAGCATAGTTAGGAGTTCCTGATGAATACTCTCTCTATGAGTTCTAGGGTCCTAAATAGGAAGGAGGTGGGGGGGGGGGGGGATAAGACCTATTGCCCCTAACACAAGTTGTAAAGGTCGACCAATCAGTGGTGTTTCTTTCGAAGTCGAAGTGCATCTGCCTGCAAGGCCAGGAACCAACACTCTGCATACAAATAAGCCAGATCTTTAAAAATGGACGTGTACACATCCACTAAAGTTCAGAAGTGGACGAACAACCAGAACTTTCTGCCGGAAATTAGAGCTGGTGAACGTGAATAAAACCAATTAATCTAACTGTCGGTGTGACAAAATGGCGGCTAAACATTTGATGCAAGAGTGTCCACCATTTGCAGGACACAGACAATTATTTTGGCCTACACATGAAACTTTTGATGACAAATTCTATGAAGGTGATGACAAGCTCAAATTGAGGCATACTTTCCAGAAAACATATTTTGGCTAATGTTTATATGTGTACAAAGAAGAAGGATATAAAGTAATTAACAATTTCTACATTTGTTATCAGAGAGCTGCAGTGGTGTAGTAGCTAGATACTTGTCTGCAGAGCCAAAGAATATGGGTTCAAATCTGCAAGGAGCCAGATTTCCTTTCAAACATGACTTTGGTCAATTAAACCTTAAATGGGTACCAGGCAGAGCCCTGGAAGTAAAGGTGGCCAGCGTGATGCTGACCTCACCATCCATCCAAGGCTGACTGGTGTATAAAAATATCAGTCTGGCCCAGTGGTTCTCAACCTTTCTAATTCTGTGACCCTTTAATACAGTTCCTCGTGTTGTGGCGACCCCCAACCATAAAAATATTTTTTGTTGCTACTTCATAACTTCAGTGAATATGTGTTTTCCTATGGTCTTAGGTGTCTCCAGTGAAAGGATCGGTTGATCCCCAAAAGGTTGAAAACCGCTGGTTTAGCCTCAAATTCCAGTCAGACCTTTACTTACAATTTTTACAAATGTGCATGCTTAAAAAGACCCAGAATGGCAAACTCCATCTAGAATGGGTTGACAGCATCAGGAAGTCCAGCCCCCAAAAACTATACTGGCTGTACTCACTGGGAGACACCGGAGTGAAAGGAAATGAAAGAGCTGACAGATTGGCAGTGTCAGCAGTGGTTAATGAAGGAGAAATTATGGACAGAACTAACATACTGAATGTACTGTGTTTTATAGACAGGCAGAGGAGTCAGAGATGATAAACCGCCTGCTGGAAATGGATATTAAACAATGACAAGCGTGGGGAAACTAGCTGTGGAGCAAAGAAAGAACTACTGGGTAGATTGAGCAAGGAGACACTGAGATGGCCGCTGCACGGGAGGATGAAACATGACTGGGTCAGACTGTGCTAAAAGCCAGGCATTTCTAGCCACTGGACCAGTGGACCTCTCCAGTTCTGGGGGCTTGTCCAAATAAGGTTACCTGGCTAAACCATTTAACTAATACAGAACAGTAAGCTAGCAACAGAACAGATAGAGAATCTGCACACTGAAAGACTACTTCAACAGGGGGTGAGTAGAAGTTCTTGGAAGATATTCAACACTGAGGGCAAAACATAGGCAGACTTTTAATCAGGCTGCAACTGGTACTACTAGCATGTTGATAAAGAAGGGGGCGAAGTATTTGTGGGAACATCCCGAGTCCACTGATGTCAATTGTTGATTCATTCATATTCGTTAGGCTACTAGAAATATTAAGACAAACTTTAAGAAAAGTCAAAGATATACCAGAATCTTTCATCATCTGCTCTTCTGGTGATAATAAATCTGAAGGCAGCTGGTGGCCAGTTGTACCCTCCGCGTGTACATGTGAGACATTGGTAGAAGCAGCTCTTGGATGCACATTCGTTGTGTGGATACAGCGCTGGGATATGACTGTTTTGTGAACATTTTTAACACTCACAAATGCCTGTAAATAAATAACATAATATGTCACAGCAAGACAATATTTTGTTTGTCTGTCACAATTTAAAAAAAAAAAAAATTATTTGGAAGCAGAGATGTAGTTTTTTGGACAAATGAAAATACCCGGGCCAGATTAAACAAAGAGTAATGAAGATGTCTTGAAAGAAACTGACTCATGGAGAACTGATTGCCCAAATCAGAAGGAGACATTTGGTCATGTAATGGGAGGAGAAAACAGAGTACAACGAGAGTGAGAGAGAAGATGCAAGGCAGTCTGATATCAGGGCATGGAAGATCATCAGTGTCTAAAATTATTGAAAGTATATGAGGCAGAAAGTTGTGGACAGATATTACTACAGATGCCATAGAATAAAAGGACTATAGGAAGCAGAAGAAGATTACAGCAATCATCATCATGTGCCATGTCAGTAAGCATTAGCTGTCGCTTTTCACCATCTCACATGATCACCAGAATGACGGCTTAGTTCAATGTTTTTGTCTAGCTCCATCATATGACCAGACCATCCAGGTATTCATCCCATTGCCTTCCTCTTGCTCTCTTTCCATCAATCTTGCCCATAGTTACAAGTTCTTGAGTCTGTTACCTTTCATAACATGTCCAAAAAATACTGACTGGCTAAGTCTAACTGTTTTAAAGAGTTTACAACTTTCATCTGTCTCGATGAGGACTACTTTATTTGTGTTTTTTTATCCTTCCATATTCTTTGCATTCTTCTCAGAAACCATAAATAAATGTTCTTCAGCTTGTCTGCTTACTGTTCATGTATCACATGCACATAACAACATAGATTCTACATAGCAATACAAAATACTCTTTTCATCGCTGCAATAAACATCTTCTTACTGGTAAAAAATCTCCTGCATTTTGCTAAAGGCCACTTTTACCATGGCAATTCTTGCTCTAATTTCTGCAAGACATCTTGCATCTGAGTACAGAAAAACCTTGCTGACACGAACTCACTTAAGAAGAACACTCGGCTAACACGAACCAAATTTTGGTCCCAGCAGGAATGTATTATTGTTACTAGTCCCTGCTTAGTATTTTTTTTTCTTTAAATCCTTACTCAGTTTTCAGTCCTTTGGAATTCATGTTAACAAGGTTTTACTGTATGTAGGTTTGGAAAAACTTAAAACATGGCAAAAATAAAACAAAAATGTCAGTCCCCATTCCAGTCTAAGTAGTAGATTCTACACACAGTCCTCTGACCTATGTCAGCTACTGCTAAAGTCAGGGGAAAGAAATAGTACTATCAATCTACTTGATGTAATATTCAAACAGCTGTAACCAGTAACAATACAATATCCCACCCATATCAGGAAACCTCACCCCAATATGGGAAACAGTTTTTTGTTACTGTGAAGCCCCATCACTAATATTAATATTTAATAAAAATATAACCAACCGGTTGAGGGTTTCTGGGACTTGTGCCCAAATGATGCTCATACGAATCGTGGCACTTTGTGTCACCTGGTATTTATAGCTCACTGTGCAATTCTGTTGGGTTTAACGTCAGTCACCCACCCATATCACTTCAGTGACCGGATCACCCAGTGTCAACTGCTCTCTGGTCAGGGCAGTATTCAGATTTTGGGTGTCTCTTTTGATCGCATTACTCATCACCATTGCAGGAATCCTTTTCATGGCTCTTGGTGGCGTGCAATGCTAAGCCATTTTATATGACACACAAAACCTGGTCATAATTATAACCTAAAGATCCCTATTCGGGATGCTGGCTGAACATGACGATTTTCATTCAGCAAAAGCACCGGCTCTCCTTTGAATCGTTCCCCGAAATGGCGGCTTTAATATGATGGCGTTCAAAAGAGAGCTAAATTGGCCAATTTCTGGCCTTAAAATATCCAAAAATATCCGAATGCGGGTCAGTTCTATTAAAAATATATGTGCCGGCTCCGGATAACGAAACAAATGCTCTGACAGGGTCTCGGCGATACGTTGCTTGCCGACCTGCTTCTGCGAGTGTGCCTCACCGCCGAGCATATCCCCCGCACCGCGGATGGTGGCTAAACTAGATGGCTGGGACTCACAAGCGGCAGCTACCACATCTCCTGCAACTTCCTCCAATTACTGTACTCGTGAGTCCCAGGCACCTAGTTTAGCCCCCATCCGCGCCGCGTGTAGCGGGGGATACGCTCGGCGATGAGTTTAATTGCGTTTGGCGCATGCCGACAAGTCTGACATCTACCGCTGCTAAATCCTCCAATCGGAAGAACACAGTATTGCTAATCGGCTTTCATCGTCTGTAATGTCTCAAAATTGATCAACGGTCGCTAATATCGTCTGCTAGTATCGTCTGCAGAAAGGCTCGAAATTGTTGTCAACTGTCGGTATTTATCGTCTGCTACTACTACCGTGTGCAAATGTTGATATTGATTGTCAAGTAATCCTAGTTTTGCCGCGATTTGTTCCTTGGCAGAAAGTCCGTAATTTAGATACACACGAACACCGTCGTTCGGATATTTTTGGATATTTTATGGCCATTTTGGAGAATGATTCAAAGGAGAGCCAAAGAACCTACCCACAGCCTCTCTACAGTCTACCTATCCCATATCAATGATATTATTAATTATTATTAATTTTTTTTTTTTAAACGTCTTTTATTCATATTTTCTGGGCAGAGAGAATGATGAGCTACCTGCCTGGTATGATTATTTATCACCTAGCTCTTAACCTGAATATTTTCATATATAGAAAAATGGCAAACCTGCGACAAAAGTCTGATGACAAACTTGGGCACAGACATCTCGTTTGTTTTCTACAGATCTTTCGTTTCGTTAACATAGTTGTGTTTTTTACTTGTACACTGTACATAGTCTTTTCTACTCGTTCTTTTTCTCATCCAGGGTTTCCCAACATTTTGGTTGGATGTTCGCTTTTTAAAATCAGTTTCTCTTCCAGAGCCCTTTGGCTGCTATTTATTTCTTTACTATTTCAGTTCAAAAGACTCACAATGCCTTCTTTTGTTACACTATGTATGGTACACATTTATTTACTTGTCCTATCACATTTTTTTTCTTTTAAGTTTTGTTGTTACTTTCCAGTTGTTAGAATAACACCTCAAAGCTGTATATTTCAGCTGTATAAGACTAAACACGTATTGCTCTAGGATACAGCAACGGTAGCATAAACATTGTTGAATTCACACTATCTGGGCTGAAAGATCTAATATTTAATGTCGACCAGTTTTTAGTTTTAATTTCCCAGAACGACCGGGATCTCCGCTGCTCTAATGACCTCTGTGTGGATAACTAAGGCAGTTACAACAAAAACAACAACAAAGCTTACAAACATTCATTTACTGGTGCCTGTGTAGAATAGAGGGAATCAAATAGTACGATAGAATCACTAATGTAGAGCTTTATGAGATGTCAAGTAACCAGCAAAACACCCCTATGCTAGTGGTTCAGTCCAAAGCTGTACCCCATTATGCTAAATATATAGCTTTCAATGCAGAATATTCCGACATAGATAAAAAAAAAAAGTCTTTCTTTAATAAGTAAAGGTCAGGATATTCAATTCTAAATCTATTGGGAGTAAGTTATATTGTGAATTCACTCACAGGTAAGTGATTTTCAAGAGTGGTGGAGCCATTTTGAATGGCCGAACCACCACCTGTCTTGATGGAAGGAATATTTTCCGTTTCTAGTTCGGGGACTGTTTGAATCTTGACGTCACTCTGGAAGTAACTTACAAAACTAAAAGACGGACAGAAAATAATCTCTGTCAACTGTCATACATATGCATTGAAATATAACATATTCACCAGGGATTTTCACGAGAGTATGGGATGTGAGAGATATAAGCGAAGAAAAAAGAATGTACCTACCTGTGTGGTCACAAAAGTCCAAAACCCACGGGCTGCTCCCCGCTGACTTCCAGAGGGCGCAGCCCCTGTCGAGCGGGAGGCCTGATACGGTTGTGAGGTTAAGCAGGCATGTGCAGGACGTGACAATTCCTTGGGTGAGCCCAGAACCAGAGCGCCATGTGCCGGCTCTGCATGCATGGAAGCCTCCTTGGATGGCGGGGAATGCCCATGATCTGCCCCTGCCTTCCCTTGAGGGCTAACTGTTCCACAGGGGCTGCCCCAAAGGGGTACTCCGGTGGCAATACCTGTGGCGATGGAGACAAAGTGGACACCACACAAATCAGGCAACGTCTCGACCCACACACAAAAAAATGGCCACAGTCACCCTAGAAATAGGCCTGACGTCTTCCTTCGAAGTCGGCGTACAGCTGCCCATGAGGCAGGGAAATGAAAAACGGTTGTACACGCAAAAATCAGGTCCAGGTGAAAGCCAAAAGTCCAAGCGGACGATTAACCGGGACCTTCCACTGGAATTCACAGCCGGTGATCGATAAAAAAAAAAAAAAAAAAGAACCTGACAGTACTGGCTTACCTGGGAGTTACTTCAGGATCATAGTCAGATTGATCCAAAGAAGTACTGCAGTCAAGCCACCAACCAGCATCTAGGTATATCTTTTTACCTTGTTACAGTCACCTGAGCAACGCCTTGGGACGTAACGTGTTGTAACACGTGCTAAAGGGCAGCTGATGCTAATTCGTCATTATCAAGAGCGGCCACCCAATGTCTGTCGACTGCAAACAGCCACCGGCCGAGCCTGAGGTTCTTTTTAGAACTGTATAGCTATGAATTTAAAGGGAGTCAATCTTTATACTGCAATCGGACAATAACTATTCATATTATAGACAGTATATACATGTAGTTAGGTATATATCTACTAGTGAACACAGTGCCTTTGTGAACACTGTTATCAAGGCCTGAAGTCAAGTTCAACGCTGCTTTTTGTCAAATATTGCCAATCACTATAAGCTGAGTATGCTTTGAGGGAATCTGAGGGTAAAGCCGCCTTGACACCGGGTACCCGAAAGTACTTTCACCCTATCACAACACCAGTGCAGCGATGCATTTATAACAGTGAACTATAGGAGTCAAGGAGTCATTCTTGACTATATGAAACATTATTTATGTCTTACTTTCCTATATGTCATTCTTCCTTGTCAGTCACTTGAGATTTTCCACATTCTTCTTCTTTGCGTTCGACAGCTGTAAACTCTGACGGAAAGTTCTGGCTGTTCATCCACTTCTGGATTGCAGTCCTGTTTCAGAGCCTGAGTGTTGCGTGTGCATCTGTTTTTACAGATCTGACTTATTTGTATGCAGACTGCTGGTTCCTTGCCTCTCAGGCAGATGCACTCCGACTTCAAAGAAAGCTCCCAATTAGTCGACTCTTACGACATGCTTTTGGGTAGGCAGTGGGTCTATTCTTGTTTTCCCTATAACAGGGCCCCGGAACCCACACGGGAAATGTTCCATATTGTTATGAACTTATTACATAATGCATTGCTATCCTTAAAACATCTTTGTTGGTGTCGGGTATTTCACAGTTCACTTTAGTAAGGTCTTTGTTATTCAATCAGATTTCTTTTGTGTTCTGTGTTTTGACTGTGATAGTGATCCTATACAGTCTGGGGGCAATCAAGTGTCGAGGGAGTCGAGCCAAGTTGTGTCCTGGACTTTGTTTGGTGCCAATAACTTGAGATACCTCATTCTTGGAATGGTGTTGGAAAGCTTCTGGAGCTGCTGAGTACCGCCTAGACCAGTGATTCTCAACCTGCCTAATGCCGCAACCCTTTAATACCGTTCCTCATGTTGTGGCGAACCCCAGCCATACAATTAGTTTTGTCTGTACTTTATAACTTCAACTAATATAGGTTTTGTGATGTTCTTTGGCTACCCCTGTGAAAGTTCGACCCCCCCCCCCCCAAAAAAAAAGGGGCAAGACCCATTGGTTTAGAACCGCTGGTCTAGATCAATACGAGCCACCATCACAACATGTTGCAATTCTAGAGTGTCTTAAACAATTAAAGGTGACCCTAATTTAGACACTTGACAAACCTGTATTGTGACAGGAAAGAACAAAACAAGTTCCAATGGACCAAGAGGTAAAGAAAAGATGCTGACGTTGGATAGGGCAAACGTTGAGAAAACATGAGAGCAATATAACTAGAATTTCTTTGCACTGGAACCCACAGAAGCATAGAAATAAAGGAAGACACACACACAAAACATGGAGAAGGGAGCTAGAAAATGAAGTTAAAAAATGGGAAGAGCTGCTTGGCATGCGATAACGAAGGAGATAAGGACTGGCGTGAGTTTGTTTGTGACCTATGTTCCACTGGGGGTTAGAAAGGAAGAAGAAGAAGAAGAAGAAGAAGAAGAAGAAGAAGAAGAAGAAGAAGAAGAAGAAGAAGAAGAGAAGAAGAAGAACGTGCTCTTGTATGCTCTTTCTTATGTGTTGTGTAAGTTGATCATTATTGTTAAGGCTAAAATTGATGCCTTCGTTCTATATTTTAGTGTGATTTATTTCTTGCTCTAATAAGAATGAACTCTTTAATGAAAGGAATCTCATTAAATATAATAACGACCATATCTATCTTTACTACGGGAGATGCAGTGTTCGAGGCATCGAGCGTGCCGACTATCTGGCTGTCGCAATGACGGGTTCGGTACCAGACGGAAGTGATGTGATTAACGCCTATCGCATAGCAACTGCGACAATAAGAAGGAATACGAATCTCTAGATATCGGAGTGCAGCCTGGATCAGCCAGACATGAATATTTTACTAATGACACACGACGTCTGATTAATCAACACATAATGGGGTGATCAGCCATTGTATGCTTGTGGAGCTAATGATGAGAATGATGAAACCGAAGCACCTGAGGGTGCTTTAATTATAGTCCTCATTAATCATCGATTATCTCATCTGTTGTTCTTTGTTGAAATGTATCACTGATTTCAGTCCTAGTCTTCTTTATATTTTTTTCGTTTCTAAAGAAACTCCTGGTTTTGCTATTATAATGTCTCCATTTTTTTGTATTCACCCCCCCCCCACCCCCCCCCCCCTTTCCTTACCCGAACCCCTTTCTTTCTTGTCACTCAGGTCCATATTCAGATGCTTCGACAAAGTCTTGCTGTCAGAATAGGATGAAAACAAGGACTTTTCTCCTCACACAGAGAATGGAGAACGGCACATGTGTACAATGGCAAGTTCAAACTGCAACCAGTCATAGACATGTACACGCTTCACAACCCGCCCATATTGGACTAAAGTACAGTGTTGCCATTTTTCTTTGACAAAAAATATCCAAAACGGTGTCCAAAAATATCTAAAAAGATCTAAATCTGCGTGAAAAAGATCTAGAAAAAACATCCAAATTGAAAAAGTCAAAAATTACATAGCTTTTGTTATGACTTACCCTACATAATCATGTCCTCACCTTCACTGATGTCTGCCTCACAAGATCCACAGGATAAACTTTGCTTGGATAATGAAGTTGAAGCTTCAGATCCAAAATGACACTGGTATGCTTTAGCTGTTCAAATTTCTTTATGTGGAACAGTAGGCTTATTTCTCTAGTCTCATCAGACCGAATTTTAATGGCACGATAGCATTTAAGAGGTCAAATTGCATCCTGTTTTTTAGGTTAGATTTGATATAATTCCTAGCACTGAAAACTCTAGTAAGTTAGTATGATTTAAGCGCGTTTTTATTAATCAGTACCGGGGCTGCCAGATATCTGTGCGTTGACCCCAGTGAGAGTTCAAAGTTTAAGTAGTGGCAGTTGTCACAATGTACGTGCCAGACCAAAACAAAAATATTGTAGTAAATATTTTACACAGTAATTATTAAATTGACAATGAAAGAAAAAAAATCTATATAATATCTAA